TTAATGTCGACGGAATTAAACTCCACGCGCTTCCAGCCAGACTTGATGGCACTTCACATGGCGTTTCAACTAGATGGATTTTATTTTCAAGTTGTTTTGATTACTAGTAATTGCAGCTACTAGTCGTCCTCTGGTAGATTTAGAGGAAGTCGAGTCAAGTTCGTACAAAGAAACAAAAAATCCTTGAGTGTCGGTACTCAGATGATTTCAACACAGTGCAAACTGCTCGCTAGTTCTTGCCGTGTTTATATTTGTAAAGTCACATTTCGAAACATCATGTTAATATTATCATGTTATGTTTTTCGGACGTTTGAGAAACATTCGTCCTTTTATACTAATCACAAATGTAAAACAAGTCATTAACTTATATAAGACAGCATTATCTTAAACTCCAGCCAACATCAGTATTTATATTACTTGTTCGACCTAGCACACGTGGTTGTAGTCCATGTAAACACCACCGTTCTGAAACGCGTGCTGTCCGGCACCTATCCGGTAATAGAGATATTATTTGATCATAGAGAATGGCGAAAGTTCTTGTATATATTTCTCAGTGAGCATGAAGTTTGAATACGCAACAATAGGACCTACTTCTTCTTCTACCGTAATATTATACCGTTTTTCGTGGCGGTTTTTTTTCCGATATGTTCTATCATGTTAATTCATGTTTTAGTAAAAACTGAAGAAAGGGTGCAATTTTCAACTATTAAACGATTACTTCCAAACATGTGCCTGATTATAAATATTCAGTAGTACACGAACTTTTGTAAAAAGAGGTGCAGCAGGGCAATGTTTCAGCTTGGCTCTGTCGGGACCTATGCAGGAAGCAAGAACATAGACCGTCGCCTAAATTATTTTAATAGGTGAGTTATCACCCTTTAGGACAAACGATCGCTCATTCTGGGCAATTTTGTCCAAGACGGAATACGTTTTTGATTCCTGTCGAGATATTCTTTTCACTGAAAGGAAGCTTGAGCCATTAATTTCTAAAATGAGTGAGTTTGGTTTCATAATAATGATGAGACTATTTACCGGAATAACACGCCATTTCCAGGCTGGATATCCTGCTCAAAGCGCACAGAATTATTACCCCGGATAACCCAAGCTGCCTGTTAGGCGCTAGAAGGTTATGGTCTCACGTCTTTTTCACCGGTACCCATTTTCTGCTGGGTGGACACAGGCAATTTTGAACAAAATCACTTGAGACCATAGGGTGCTCCGTTGTGGGGCAGGAATGAAGTGCTAGAAACTCTCATGAGCCAAGCTGCCAAACACGGTCACCCATCCAAGGATTCTCCGCGCCCACCGTTGCTTAACGTCAACTGATTATGGCCAGAGCGCTATGCGCAGGACCACACGCTACCAGCTGGATTAACTCAGCTTTGAGCAGTATATCACTACGTGTCTGCTTAATGATGGAGGAAACCCCGAAGTGATGCAGTCTCAGACCTTTACCACTTTTGTGAAACCAAAAGCACGGGAATAATGATAAGAGCCTTAAGCAGAATCTATGCAAACAAGGATTCGAAGTCATAGGTTTCTGGCCGAGGGGACGCAACTCTTCACATGGGAGGATATCCCAGGATGTGTATCTAAGACGTTTTTGTTGTTAAACATGAGGCAAAATTTATATATATATTTTTTGTGTTGTTTTTTTTTTTTTTCTTTTTGTATTCTTCAGAATATTCGTGAGCAATGTATCCCCTTCACGCACGCGCGCACACACACACACATACACACACGTAGTTCAGCAGGTCAGATAGGCAACAAACATAAAATATAAGGTTATTATTCTGTACAAACACGGCAATATGTCATGTTATCTACAAAGCTTCCTAAACATTTCATTTCATCATATGTCATATAACTGCTCTGTGAAACTACGGTACCAGAACGTGTGTTTTCTAATCAATTTTTGACCAATGCAGAACTTAATCAAACCCTTATAGGTGCTCAGTCCTTAACAGAACGTCGGGCATTCATCAAAGTGTCAAATTATTTCACCGACACTAATATTACAGTTTTGAAATAACATTTTTTCAAAGTGTTCCTCTTCCTAACTGATGAGCACTTCACAAATAAAAACATCCCATAGAGCAATCGAGTAGAACATTTCTTCGCCATTTTGCCCTAACCCTTCTGAAGAAAAGCATGTTCTAAAATATATTTTATAGTGTAAAATGTGTATAATTCAGCTGGTCATTCAATGATAACAGTGCAAATTAAATATATAATTTATTACATTCATCGAAAATATTTATACAAAGTTTGGTTGAGGTCAGCAGAGCAACAGTAAAGGTTTACCCCAAAACAAGTTACTCATGATTAGATTAGAAATTATCAGTGCCAGTTAATTCCTCATGAATATGATATTTAGAGCCCCGGCCAAAGCACCACAAAAACACTAAAAATATTAATCAGCTTATTAAACCGCCAGGTTTGTGGCGTTATTGTATAATATATGCAATAACTAGTATTATCTTATCTTCATGTAAAATATTTTAATTTCATTGGTCAGTGACGCTTTAACAAGTTTCCGTGGGAGGGGTGACAACTGGAAAAAATATTACCCGCTGCCACGGTACTCGCCAAACTCTCCGCCGATAAGGTGCATCGCTAACAATCGTATGACGTCATAATATGACGTATGCACTGCCCGGAGTTCGAAAACCGTTCGATTAGCTGTTTTTGAGTTCATTATGTACAGATTTATTTGACCGACTTTCACTGCTTTATTTAAACTATTTTATACATTGAATCGTTTTCACACTCAACTTGAAGATAATTAACCATTTTTATAGCGGTTTTAAGCTTGTCAGAATATGTTTAACCGATTTTAAAAATCCAGTCGAGAGGCAGACGCCATTTTGTTTACATGTCATATAGTCGGTAGTTTGTAAAACCTACTTTATTAAGCACAAACAGTGATACTTAAGTTGAAAACGTTTAATAAAATTTGAAACAAGCATTTACACGCATTACATCCAGCCATAAGCTCGCGCTACAGATCAGCACGAAATATTGTTATATGAACCTGTATAGCTATATATGAAATGTATGAACCTCAAGTGACAGAAGTAACAGACAAAGCAGGAGTGATATGTTTAGTTTCGTATTTTTAGTTTCGTATCATATTTTTAGTTTCGTGTCACTGGGCTGTGCTTATAACTACTGTGATCTTCAAAATGAAATAATTCACATTCTTATGGCAAAATGAATGGGAGAAGCGCCACAGTGTTCTTCAACTATGACGTCATTCTGTGGTGTCCTTGGGATGGGTGTCTGTGGTGTCTTCAATGGGAAGTCGTTTCATATTGAAAATTGAGGAAACTACTTAAATCCGCACGTTTTTATTAACTTGCATTAAAATCGGCACATTAACATATGAAGAGTATGGCGTTTTCACAAGTGAATTAGCCATGCGTGATAATAATATTTAAAATTGTTCAATATTATATCATTGTCCGATATTAATTTTAAATCATTGCAAACATGTAACGGAGGAGGGTTATGTCGTTAAAAGCTTACATAGCATGAACTGAGATATGGTATGAACTCTACATGATAACTGGGCCAAGCTCAAGAGAATACACACGTGCAATGGGCAGTTTTTTAGTTGAAAAGTTATAAGAAATAAAATTAGAATTCCTTGAATAAAGATCACTAGACTTCTATAATGTGTGGAAACGAACACCCGGATCTTCAAGTATACAGGGGTGCCTGAGATGTAGATTGTGTCTCCATCTTCCAGGAGCTGTGAAGGCAAGCGGTAATTAATATATAGTAATACTGCATTTATCATTATATTTCCTCGTCGCCCCGGGTAAACAATCTGTCTATGAAAACAAAAACGTATATCTTTTTCTTGGCACAAAATATCAAATTGGCATCATTTTTAATCGACCCTTTCGACAAGCGTTTACTGTGAGGTTTATACAACCCAAATAGTTGTTTAAGGAAACACCAGCACCCAAAACCAGCTTTATGTAAAGTAAGACCATGTCAAGGAAGTCCATCCTCAGAGAGAAGCATGTAGTATGTCTAATACGTCGAGTGTGTGCGTGAATATGTCTTTATGATAAACCTGTGATCCTGCTTTAACTCTCCACGGTTATAGGTATAATATCTTTTCGCTTTATGACCTATGACAATCATTTGTGGATATCCTGTCGAAAAGCTTGGTATAAGATGAAAGCACTCTTGTGTCAGACAAGAGTGAGCGAGAATGTTTTTTCGCCGCTTTTAGCAATATTCCAGCAATATCACGAGAGGGGCACCAGAAATGAGTTTCACACATCGTACCCATGTGGAAAAACGAACACGGGTCTCCGGTGTGACGAGCGAACGATTTAACCACTAGGCTACCCCGCCGCCGTGTCAGACAAGACTACGGGTATGCTGAAGAAGTTAAGGGGGTGAGAGATTTCATGCATGTGGAAAGGGTTTTGTCACTTTTTTTTGCTGATGTATTTCAACTCGACCTGTCGTGTACGTATCAGGAGTCCCTTTGAGACATATTTTAAGTCAGTCAGTTGCCATAATAATCACAGACTAAATGTCAAATCGTCAAAACGTTCGCATCTCAAAATGAATGAGAGTAGCGCCCAGCGTTCTTCAACTACGACGTCATTTTGTGACGTCTTTGGAATGCACGGTGTCTTCAGTGGAGAAGTAGGTAACGGTATCCATCACGCGCCTATTCCAAGAGCAGATTATCCCAGAACGAGGCCTGCATTAATGTGTTAATTCATAGCGTCACTGGTGTTTCTACACATTCTTCCTATCGGGTTTAGAGAAAGAATGTCATTGTGGTGTAATTGGGTCCGTTACTTTCGGACTTGTGACCTAATCGTATCACTTGATGGCTTCCTTTAACGCTGTTCCACCACACTCCATATGATCACACACCATATGATCCGTATGATTACACGCCATATGATCCGTAATGGGCATACAACCACACATCAACGATACAGAGTTCATGTTTCAATGCATATATGTCATACTGAAGACTCCGACGTCACTCCGTTAGTTCCAAGAAGGGCAGACAAACCTTCCTCGTCTTTGAAAGAGGTTATTTTATGGCCTGCCTGATCGACAAGAAGCTTGCAACATTCTTTCGACTTGAGCGATATTGCCATGTCCAGAGCGGTCAGTCCTTTGGAGTTAGTGATGTTCACATTCAATTTATGACGTACCTTTCTGTGTTTCAGAAGTATATAAACAGCAGTTACGGCATCAGCTGCCACGGCAAACATCAACGCCGTGTTGCCTTCGCAGTCTGCAAGGTTCGGGTCACATGATGGCTGCCTTATCAGGTGACGCACTGCGTCATCATTGTGACGGTCTGCGCATGCGTACATGAGAGCAGTGCGTCCGTAAACGTCCTGTACGTTGATATCACTGTTGGCTTGTATGAGCATGCGCACGAGCTGGCTGCAGAGATTCCCGGATGTGGAATGTGTGGCGTGTATCAGTAGCGTCTGCATGTCGTGGTTTCTCATGTTGATGTTGTCAACTTCCGGTAAGGCGGCAGCAACTCGATGGATCTTCCCGAAGGATATCGCTAAGAAAACATTGTGATCCTGCTCAGAGAGGTCACACATGATGGCGTCGCCCTTCACAGATTTCCTGTCCTTCAGCCTCACGTCTCTCGACCCTGAAAGTGAAATATGTACAAATAAAGTGTTCTTCAACTGAGAATGATGACAGAGCAAAGCACAACTTAATTACACTCGGGCTGTCAGTATAGGAAGTTCACAGAAGTCATAATTGTTCAATGAAATGAAGATATATAGGCATACACTTCAGTGCGTACCCGTGAAGATCCGGGTTAGAATTGATCTTCATGAACCCATGCTTGTCGTAAAAGGCGACTAACGGGATCTGGTGGTCAGGCTCGCTGACGTGGTTGACACATGTCATCGTATCCCACTTGCGTAGATAGAGATGCTCATGTTTTGATCATTGTATTGTCTGGTCCAGACTCGATTATTTACAGACCGACGCTATATAGATGGAATATTGCTGAGTGCGGTGTTAAACAATAAACAAACAAACCAGTCAACAACGCGTTTCTGAAATATAGTTTTCTGTAGAAAGCAGACATATAGGTCATATGTATTTTTGTGAGTGAGTGAGTGAGTGTGTCCGTGTTTGTACATAGTGCTAATAAAGGTGCGACAGGCATTCAACACAGATACATTAGTGACAATGGTTCTCACTCTCCGGAGTTTCAATGCCACCCAGATAGGAAGATCTTCTGTTGTACCCATTGTAGGGACATACAAACCCAGCCTTGTTAACGCGAGTCTGTCTTTGTCCCTGTTCGTGTTCCGTTCCAGAAAGCATGATTTATCTGCACTCGAATGCTTTCTCCCGTCCTTGTATGCTGGCTTAATTAAAATAACCAATAACTGTGTGCAGCATACCACGTGGAAGAATATTTGGGATATTCACATGTCACCCATGAAAGGGTGTTTGAGGTACGCATGTACGACGTTTGGAAAGTCGTTCTGGTGAGTTCAGAATGACTTGCAGGAGGTAGTAGGGTATACACGAACGACACTTGGAATTGCATTCTGGTGTGTTCGGCATGACACGTAGACGGGTTAGGTATACACATACGACACATGGTGGGGTATGCTGTGGTATTCATCTCGACACGTAGAACGTGTTTGAGGTATTTGCACATGTCACATAGAAGGGCATGCTGAGGTGTTCAGTTTGACACATAGAATTGTATTCTGTGGTGTTCAGCATACCACATGGAAGGTTATTCCGAGGTGTTCAGTATGACACATACAAGGTATTCTGAGGTGTTCAGTATGACACATAGAACGGTATTCTGTTGTGTTCAGTATGATTGATAGAAGAGTTTTCTGGGGTGTTCAGAATGATAGATAGAAGGGTTTTCTGGGGTGTTCAGTATGATAGATAGAAGGGTTTTCTGGGGTGTTCAGTATGATTGATAGAAGAGTTTTCTGGGGTGTTCAGAATGATAGATAGAAGGGTTTTCTGGGGTGTTCAGTATGATAGATAGAAGGGTTTTCTGGGGTGTTCAGAATGATACATAGAAGGGTGTTCTGTTGTGTTCAGCCTGACCAAGGAAGGGTGTCCCAGGTATACACCAAAGGGACACAACTCTGTTCGGAGACAGATGTGTGAAAGGTATTCTGAGGTTTTCAGCATGGTACACAGAAGGGTGTTCCGTTGTGTTCAGCATGATATATAGAAGGGTGTTCTGAGGTGTTCAGAAAGACACATAGAAGGATGTTCTGAGGTGTTTATTATGACATACAGAAAGGTATTCTGACGTGTTCAGCATGACACATAATAGGTATTCTGAGGTGTTCACCGTGACATATACGGGTTTTTTCTGAGGTGTTGAGCATGATATTTAGAAGTTATTCTGAGGTTTCCAGCATGACACATAGATGAGTATTTAGAGGTATTCTGCATGATATATAACGGGTATTCTGAAGTGTTCAGTATGACATAAGAAGGGTATTCTGAGGTGTTCAGCATGACACATGGAAGGTTATTCCGAGGTGTTCAGTATGACACAAAGAAGGGTATTCTGAGGTGTTCAGCATGATACATAGAAGTTATTCTGAGGTGTTCAACATGATAGATAGAAGGGTGTTCTGAAGTGTTCAGTATGACACATAAAAGGTATTCTGTTGTGTTCAGCATGATACATAGAAGGGTGTTCTGAAGTGTTCAGTATGAGACATGGAAGGTTATTCTGAGGTGTTCAGCATGACACATGGAAGGGTATTCTGAGGTGTTCAGTATTACACAAAAAAGGGTATTCTGAGGTGTTCAGCATGATAGATAGAAGGGTGTTCTGAAGTGTTCAGTATGACACATAAAAGGTATTCTGAGGTGTTCAGCATGATACATAGAAGGGTGTTCTGAAGTGTTCAGTATGAGACAAGAAGGGTATTTTGAGGTGTTCAGCATGACACATGGAAGGTTATTCTGAGGTGTTCAGTATGACACAAAGAAGGGTATTCTGAGGTGTTCAGCATGATACATAGATGGGTGTTCTGTTGTGTTCAACATAATAGATAGAAGGATTTTCCTATGTGTTCAGCATGATAGATAGAGGGGTTTTCTGAAGTGTTCAGTATGACACATAAAAGGTATTCTGAAATGTTCAGTATGACACAAAGAAGAGTATTCTGTTGTGTTCAGCATGATCGATAGAAGGGTGTTCTGTTGTGTTCAGCATGACCAAGGGAGGGTGTCCCAGGTATACACCAAAGGGACACAACTCTGTTCGGAGACAGATGTGTGACTGGTACCTCCCCCTGTATCTAAGGAGCTCCCTTTCCAAAACACATTTTAAATTCACTACAGCTAAATAAATCCCTTGACAACATACAAATGACAACACATTCGTTACGAGGGCCCGTCAGTTGGAGCCCTAAGTTAACACAGCTGGTGTCCAAGCGCCATTTTGTCTTTTAAAACACATGTGTTTGCTTACCTTCAGCCATTGCTGGCTTGGGATCCGTGTTTTGAAGGCCTGCTGACGTCATGGCGTTTATTGATTCCCCTATCCTATGCCCACTGTAGATATGATTCTGTGAAACTTAAATCCCCCGCAGGAATAGATGCTCCCGGAACAAGAGCATCCCGACTTTGGTTCTCCCGAATAGATTACACTAGAACAGTGTACAGAGCTTCACAAAATGTCTCGCAGACTTATTCAGCTCACGTATAAATCCGGAATGTTCAGACCACAATAACTGCCTCTTTTCTTGGAACATATGTGGTCAGAAATTGCCATATATACCCTCGTGTAACGTATTGTATACAAGTACGAATCTTACGTCCGGGCAACCGCCTGACCGCTGAACATCGCCTGAACATCTGCCATTATACCACCTCAAGTCCTGTATTCTCCGTCATGGCCATAACGAACCATGCACCAATTATGCATAAGATCCCTTTCGTCTTCTTCACCTGTCGTTTCCAAAGCAAGTCCCAGTGAGTCAGAAGTCCAACTCCCAGTCAATTCACTTAAAAGACGGGGGTTCCCTTCACAGAGGTGAATACATTCAGGTGGTGTTGTAACTATGTTGCGCCAACAATGAAACGTTAACCCTTAACACTCAACCACACCACCTGCATACCCGTTGCTCCAAATACCATTGCAGTGAAAGGGTTATCTGCATGAATACCTGGCAGACGTGTACGTCATCAACTGTTGGTACTACGATCTTTTCAGGACAAATTAGGTGAATACCCCTTACGATGAGGTTTCAATCAACCATTATGATGGTAAACATTGTCCAACACCTCTGACTTATATGTGTTTAAACACATCCTTTGTCTTCGTGAAAGGACTTCTTCTAAAGAATATTCTTAACTTGGTTTAACAAAGCCATAAATCCATTCACGTATTGTCAATACTGGCTGGATATGTTGCCATAATGTGGCCGTATATCTCCTGTAGACAGATTGCCGTTCTATTAATGCAGTAATCTCTTTTAATAGAGGAACCATCATGACAGATCCTTTGGTTACAGGTATGTCGTGAGGGGTAGGAGGGGTCAGTGGGAGGGTGGGGGTACGTTCGAGAGGAGAGGGGGAGAGGTTAAGTCTATCATCAAAGATCTACCGTATTCCGTCTAATAAGCGCCGGAGGTAAAGCAGCTCACTAACAATTCCAGTAAGAGCAAAAGCGCCGGGCATTTGATAAACGCCGGGTCTAGATATCCATTGAAAAAATAAGCGCGGGCGCTTATTAGAAGAAATACGGTGCCTTACTTTGGTCAAGGGTTACACGCGGACTGAAAACGTTACGACATTAACTCCAAATATCACCATGGGCTGGGATGGGGAAGGTGGTATATGGCGTAGCTGAGGTCGTTTAATGCTGGCTTGAATGGAAGCCAAATGTTCGGATCAACCACGGGACCACGCATCTCAAGCATGAAGCCTGTGTAACGAACCCGCTATTCAGGACGTGGTAACGTTACACGCCGTTACCGACGCTGGTGACGCACGAGCCCTGTGAAGGGTCATTGAACCGTATTGTTGAGTGACGGGTATTTCAGGTAAAGAATATTGATATCTTTGTTAGAATGAGAACATATAGGTGACGGTGCTACCGTGGGTTGGACAACGCGTGTGGGTAATGAGTATTCTATGCAGGAGGGAAATTAATTGTTCGGGGTATGAACAGTGTGATAAAAGAGAAATCGGGATGGTCCATGTGGGCGATCTTTTTGGGGAGGTAGACGGATTGGAGCGTTTGTTCATACTATCGGCCATTGGTTCGCGTATCCTTGGTTAATTAGTGGGAGTGAGTGAGTTTTACGCCGCTTTTAGCAATATTCCAGCACTATCAATGCTTGGGACACCAGAAATGGGCTTCACACATTGGGGAATCGAACCCGGATCTTCAGCGTGACGAGCGAACGCTTTAACCACTAGGCTACCCCACCCACACATCCCTGATTAGTTAAATGGGTCATGATAACATTGGAAAAGTTGCTGTCTTCGGAGTTAAACAACAAAACAACAACAAAGACTCTAAACAACTGATGCCGGTACGCCTGTCCATCAAACATACCATGTTATTTTGCATCAGTTTTGGTTAGGGGTGCTTGTTGTTTAACGTAGCTCTCCATTCCAGCTAAATGGCGGCAGCCTGTAAATAATCAAGTCTAGACCAAACAATCCAGTGATCAACAGCATCAACATCGATCTACGGAACTGGGATACGATCACATCTGTCACATCTGACCACCGTTAGTCGATATTTTGTATCAATGATATATGGTACTTACATGTATCAAGAATACCATCATATACTGTATGAATGATATATGCTACAGAAGTAGGAATACCATGTCATACTGTATGAATGATATATGCTACAGAAGTGTATCAGGAATACCATCATATACTGTATGAATGATATATGCTACAGAAGTAGGAATGCCATGTCATACTGCATGAATGATATATGCTACAGAAGTGTATCAGGAATATCATGTCATGAATGATATATGCTACAGAATGATATATACTACAGAATGATATATACAGAAGTGTATCAGGAATACCATGTCATACTGCATGAATGATATATGCTACAGAAGTGTATCATGAATACTGTATGAATGTATATGCTACAGAAAGTGTATCAGGAATGATCATATGCTGCATGAATGATATATGCTACAGAAGTATATCAGGAATACCATCATATACTGCATGAATGATATATGCTACAGAAGTGTATCAGGAATACCATGTCATGCTGCATGAATGATATATGCTACAGAAGTGTATCAGGAATACCATGTCATGGTACATGAATGATATATGCTACAGAAGTGTATGAGGAATACCATGGCATAGTACATGAATGATATATACTACAGAAGTGTATCAGGAATACCATGTCATGGTACATAAATGATATATGCTACAGAAGTGTATCAGGAATACCATGTCATAGTACATGAATGATATATACTACAGAAGTGTATCAGGAATACCATGTCATAGTACATGAATGATATATGCTACAGAAGTGTATCAGGAATACCATGTCATGCTGCATGAGTGATATATGCTACAGAAGTGTATCAGGGATACCATGGCATAGTACATAAATGATATATGCTACAGAAGTGTATCAGGAATACCATGTCATGCTACATGAATGATATATGCTACAGAAGTGTATCAGGAATACCATGTCATGCTGCATGAATGATATATGCTACAGAAGTGTATCAGGAATACCATGTCATAGTACATGAATGATATATGCTACAGAAGTGTATCAGGAATACCATGTCATAGTACATGAATGATATATGCTACAGAAGTGTATCAGGAATACCATGTCATGGTACATGAATGATATATGCTACAGAAGTGTATCAGGAATACCATGTCATAGTACATGAATGATATATGCTACAGAAGTGTATCAGGAATACCATGTCATGCTGCATGAATGATATATGCTACAGAAGTGTATCAGGAATACCATGTCATAGTACATGAATGATATATGCTACAGAAGTGTATCAGGAATACCATGTCATACTGCATGAATGATATATGCTACAGAAGTATATCAGGAATACCATCATATACTGCATGAATGATATATGCTACAGAAGTGTATCAGGAATACCATGTCATGCTACATGAATGATATATGCTACAGAAGTGTATCAGGAATACCATGTCATGGTACATGAATGATATATGCTACAGAAGTGTATCAGGAATACCATGTCATAGTACATGAATGATATATGCTACAGAAAGGTATCAGGAATACCATGTCATGCTGCATCATGTACATACCTGCAAGATTTGGGGGGCCCAGTGGGATGAATACCATGTCATGATGCATCATTTACATGTGTGTGTGTGTGTGTGTGTGTGTGTGTGATGGGCCCAGTGGAATGAGGGTAGGAATGTTACCCCTGTCCTCTGTTGATTGTCGTAAGTAACGACTGCGGTGAGTCGGGGGGTCAGGTACGGTAAGCTGGTTGACTGCTGGCAGTACCCTGACGGCGTGGATATTTGTTCACATTACCAATAACTAGATCGTCTGGTCCAGACTCGAATATTTACAGACCGCCAATGCAGCAGCGTTTAACATCAAACAATCACAAATGACCTACGAAACACGCAACTTCATTACCTCTATTTCCCATTGACACACGCAGAAGTAAATCTCCACCTGGCTCCCCTCATGAAATGGACATTGGTATTTTGGTCATACCCAACTCAGTGGACACAGCTCTTTCTGTCCAGCCTTACAACTATCTGGATCGGAAAGACGGCGTTCTTGGTGAACATGAATAATTATGCACCTTCGTGTTAATAATGAGATTAACCGATAATCCGTCGTAAGTACGCTACGTAATCAGTTTATTTCTGTGTGTAACTATATAGCAGAAACGACATTGACACCAGCGAGTCGATCGATTATAGTATCGCGGTTCGTTTTTTTGATAAACACTGAGTCCGGTTTGTGAGCGAGTTGTGTTTCGAGACATGATTTGAGTCATATGATTGAGTTTTAACTGAATGAAAGCTGGTAATGATGCAACAGTAGACATCTGTCAGTCGTGGAACCAGAGATCGGGTAGAAAGTCCACAAACCAAGGATTTGAATCCGGGTACACCTAAGGGACGCAACTCTGCAGAACATTTTGTTCTCGATAAGTGTCATTCGGGGCCAAGTCGTGTTATTCAAGGACAAGCGGCGATCTTCTTGCAGGTTACGGAAAGGGGCGAGTGGTCACGAACGGAGTACGGTACTCTGCGCCATTTAAGGTTATTGCAACGTTAAAAAATAGTATTGTATTTATCATAAACACAGATCCAAATAATGACAGACATTCACAGAGTCGGTGAAATAATGCTTTCAACAGACGTTAAGATTGACCCGTAATAACAAGCTATATGAACAAACATATTTATTGATAAACATGGACTTCAAGTCCTGAACATGTACATCAACAAACATATATTCAAATTCTATAAAAGCAATTACTCTAGGCGATATGGATCTAATGTCACGCTAAATCTAGCGTCATGCATGTTCGTGCATGTACGTGCATGTGTTGCTGTCTTGACTTATGCCAGCTTTACAGTTCTAGCCGACTGAGATACAAGGATCGGGTTAACGCTGATACCCTGATCAGACACATGTACATACTGACTCCTAGCCGACCAGTCTGTTTCATCCGCCTAATTCCGGGCGCCAGGTCGGTTAACAGCGAGTACCGTATTAGTCGTATTAAGTGCCCCTTTCCAATTACCGATCCTGACCATCGTGTACATCAACCAGTAATGAATGGGATGGTTTTGTAAAATATTATTTAGAAATATCCCAACAATTTCGAGGCAGCGAAACCAGAAATGAGAAACACACGTTGTAGCCATGTGGGAGAATCGAACCTATCACCTGAGTGCGTGAATGAATGAGTTGAATTTTACGCCGCTTTGAGCAATATTCCAGCAATATCACGGCGAGGGACACCAGAAATGGGCTTCACAAGTTGTACCAATGTGGGGAATCGAACCCGGGGCTTCGGCGTGACGAGCAAACGCTTTAACAGGGCTCTCCATTCCATCCTGAATTATTGCTAAAAGCGACGTGAAATTATATTCATTTACTACTCGATCTGGAACAAGACTATTCTCATCCCTCCGTACGCGTCGGTCAAATCGAGACTGGACATCACTCAATAAGCCACCATTGTCAATTTATGGGTTCATGATTGCTCTAACCTAGATACAGGTCAGTAATTTTATCGCGGAATACAGCGTGAATTCTTGAACGGTCCCCAAGTGTTAGGTTTTATGGTGGAATTCGAGTGATCTTTGTCTGCAAATTGAACCATATTCCCATAAATTGGATTGCCTCGCCGTAGTATCAGATCAAGGATAGGGATCACATGTCCCCGTAACGGGGTTGAGTGTGTATGCTGTCCAAAATGTGAGATAAATGTTCAGTATATTGTATTTCAGGTACATTACACATAGGTTATACGAATTGCGTAAGTACAATAGCCTCGATTATAGTATATACTGTAGACCGCCTCCGTGGTGTAGTGGTTAGAGCGTCCGCCCGGAGAGCGGAAGGTCGCGGGTTCGATCCCCGACCGCGTCATACCAAAAAGACGTTAAAATATGGTACTTGTTGGTCCCTGCCTGGCGCTCGGCATTAATGGGTACAACAAGGACTGGTCGGCTCGGAGTCAGTATAATGTGTCTGAGTGGGGTATTCATGCTTCACTGCGGCATGGTATCTCAGTGGGCTAGCACTATAAAACCAGCTTCAGTCTGGGCTAGTACAAGCAGCCGCACATACACATACACATGCATGCACGTCGTCATATGAGCGAAATATTCTCAAGCACGACGTAAAACCCAATTTCACCTCACCTCAGCATCAGGTACGGGTGAAGTGACAGTCAAACATGCCTGGAGCGTCTTGGGTTAAATCATTGTTTATGTGTGTTGGTTTTGTTTATTTGTTATTTAACGCCGCACTCCGCAATTTTCTAGCGGTTTGTAAAAAATCGAATCTGGGCCAGACAATCGTGTGCTTGACATCATGAGCATAGATCAACGCAACTGGGACACGATGTCCGACATCAACCATAGCAGCGAGCCTGACAACCCGATTCCGTTAGTCGTATGACAAGCATGGGCTACTGGAGGCCAATTCTAACCCGTACATTAATCATCCAGATCGGTCGAGAAATCAGTTCACTAATTCAATTCATTCGACGCGGACCGTGGCTCACAATTCAAATCACTGGATTGTCTAGTCCCGGGTTGTCTATTTGCAGACATCCAGCATATCAAATGAACACTACTGAGTGCGGCGTTAAACAAAAAATAAAACAAACAACATGTCAAAATCTAAAATATGACATACGATGATCGGCATTGGTTGCCGACAGTGAGTGAGTGAGTATGGTTTCACGCCGTTTTTAGCAATATTCCAGCAACATCACTGCGGGGGACACCAGAAATGGGCTTCACACATTGTACCCATGTGGGGAATCGAACCCGGGTCTTCGGCGTGACGAGCCAACGCTTTATAACCACTTGGCTACCTCACCGCCCCTGGTTGTTGACAGAGTTTTGCTGGGATATGCCGTATCAGGAACACGCGCTTGATAAATGGATTGATATTCTTGTCATCAATTCACCTTAAATCACTGAATAAATGCTGGATGTATAGAGATTATTACACGAGCATGTGTGTCATACGAAACGAGTGTGAAATTTTGTATTTTTTATTACGTATGTGGTGAAACATAACTAGTGTCATATATACATATCATATGTGCACATGTGCACATATCACTTTTGCCTCGCAACCATTGTTTCTGTAATTCGTAGTCTGTGACGTCATTAAACAATTCGACGTGATGTCAATGAAGAGGGCCGTCACACTTGTTTATCGTGTTTTAATGTAAATGAATAAGCTCTCGCTCGGGCAATACAAAATTTCACACTCGTTTCGTATACTTGCTCATGTACCAATAATCTGTATGTATTTTATATTATTTTATTCGGAAATTCTTTTTATTCCGTTTATTTCATCATAAGTTCATCTCAAATCTTTCCGTTCCTTTATAGCAATAGTAGAGAGGCGTTAATTGAAATAATTAAAGGGAAGGGGTGGCCCAGTAGTCTATATAGCCTCAATTCAATGTGTACACTTTCCTTCGCCCACCAGAAACGTACGATTGTGAGTTCGAATCCCGGTACGCCCCCAGTGTTTTGCAAGGTTTGTCCGCGCGATACCCTATGAGTAGCGTAGGGGCGGTGGGATAGCCCAGTGGTTAACGCGTTCGCTCGTCACGCCGAAGACCCGGGTTTGATTCCGCCGCCGTGATATGTCAACCGCCGTGATATTGCTGGAATATTACTAAAAGCGACGAAAAACTAAACTCAGTAGCATAGCCTGAAATACAACTGTAGTTAAACGTCTAACGTCTTTGACTTTCTGAAGTCACTTTAGGGTTTCATTCTGCATATATTTAGAGCCACACCTCGTTAAACGGCAACCACATACAGCTGACATACCCTGATTGATAACGGGTCCCTCTATAATGGTAATGCAATGGTAACGAGATTGTTCTACTTTAAGCGACGACCTAGTGTGGCAAAGCAAGTTCATAGCGATTACTCTTTACATAGTGAACCCCTGTTATTCTGGAAACTCTTATTTCCGGACAATCAGTATGACAAATGCATATACAGTGACTACAACACAATGTCTTTGTTCCTTAAAATAGGTTAACGCGGATAACATAGGTTTCAATTATGCCAATATCTTAAGGTTCTAATTTTAATGTTTTTAACGAATTTATATGTTTATAATTCAAACAATTTCCCAGATTTTTTCATAAGTATCAGCATATATTAAAGTCACTCATTATATATTATGGCGATGTCCATGTGCATTAAGTAAAAGGAATTTTGATGTTAGTTTGTGAGGACACCTTTGTATAAATACACCGATCTAAAATGTTCATGTTGCGTCACAATGAATGGTCCCTCTCATAAAGCGAAACATGTCATAACTGGTAGTCGTTATCTGTTGCGAAAAGAGAGCATCATGTGTGTTACAGAACGGAACATCGACAGGGAACTAGTTTACACTGGACAAGGAATCTGCACAGCGACTCCTGGCGGTGATGTTCCTCAAAGTGTAAACCGACGATGCCTATTTATACAATTTGACAACAAAGGAGACTGTTATTTATGTCTATAGAAAGTTGTGTATATACTAGGTGTTGCATACTGTCAACAAACCTTTCACGAATAAAATCAATGTAAAAGCACAAGGGTAATCGTGTTCATACGTTTTTCTTTAGCGGACGTTGTATTTAGAGTTATCTTTTCCTGATAAGTGCAGACTGCTTCCTGTGATGGCGGTAACGCTCCGTGTTTCTGTCAGAAGTGTACATGGTGGAATTTAAGAAGTTAGTGACAACAGCGCTTCAGTCATGAATATTCAAGAACTGAAACTATCGTTCCCCTACGATTTCTTGAACACTTAATCAAGACTCGTTATGATTCAAAGTCGCAATATTTCACTGCAAGCACGGGGGCAAAGGGAGAATCCATTAATTTGAATCGGACAACGACACCGATTTCAGTGATAGTCACGTCTGAGTTTGAAAACGTCAGTGTATCGATAACCAGAGACATATTTCAGTGTCAACATGGCATCTTACGCTGTGCATTTAAAGAATGGGAAGAATCAAATAAAAAATTAAAAACAAAAACAAATGTTGAACATCTGTCAGATTCACCTACGTTTGAAGTTAAAAAGTGCCATGTGGTTCTTCATGATGTACTTGACAACACATCAAAGAAACAGTTAGATCAGTCTAGCAGCTGTCACATAACACCCAGAAGAAAAAATGTCAAGAAGGAACTTTCTCAACTGATAAGAAACAAACATGTGAAAGGGTTAAAGTCAAGGAAAAGGGGATCAGAAACCAGATGTACAGGGCCTGCAATTAAGAAAGACAAAGTATCACCTACATTGAAAACAAGACAGGTGAATGTTGAACAGAAAATTTTAACACCCAAAGTCAGAAATTATGCAACAAGAAACAAACAGCTCTCCACAACAAGCAAAGAAGACATGAGTGCTGATGAATGTGAAAAACAACATTTAATGAAAAGCATAAATCTTCGTCCAAGCAGAAATATAGTAGATTGGTCATCTTTAGTTGAAAGTGAAAGTGATTCTCATGATGTCTGTGATGATCCAGGAGAGGTTAGTCCAGATACTTCTCCATTAAACCTGGATGTAAACAACACGTCTGCACCAAGGGACCCTGATAAGTTGCCCGGGGGACAGGATGAGGTTCAGATGCCAGTCCTTCCAATTATTATCACTGTATCCCCATCAGATGTTCCACTCATGCAATCTAAATCCCATCTTTCTCAAGCACCAGTGAAAACATCCACTGCACAAACTGGTCTGATTCCTCAACCAACTTCAGCAAAGCTGGCCCCAAGCATTCCACAGAAGACCTTTCCATCACCAACAGTTGGGAACCCACCAGATCATCCACAATCAGCAACACCTTCTGCATCAACACCAGCAAAGACTGTGCTAACTCCATCAACACCAACAACATGTCTTTCTGATACAATCCTAAAGACAACTCTGCTTTCAACACCATTAAAGCCGCTACTCTCTCAGCCAAATGAAACTGAGGTACTTCTTGAGACACCGACTTCAATGCATCCACCACTCCAGGCAACCCCAGCACAGACGCTTCATCCTCTGGATAACAATGGCAGTGCACAACTCTCTCAACCTGACCAAGACAATACAAGTCTTCCTCCACCTTCCCGAAAAAAACAACCTCTTCTTCAAGGAAAGAAATACAAGACAATTCTCCCTAAAATGGGAAAGAACATAGCAAAAGCCATTAAACCAATAGACAGAAAGGTTAACACAAAGGTTCAGACAAACTTGCTGGACCCTCACATGTCTATGTCTAAGGTATTTCCAGTACAAGTTGTTCCAGGAGAAATTCAGGTGACTGAAGGTCAAGAAGGGCAGTTAACTCTCACAGCCCAAAGTGAAACTAAATCTGATACATTCGAAAGCGTGGAAGACACAAAAGTGTCATTTTATACCAATATTTCCAAGGGTATTGAAAAGAAGCCACTTAATTATCCCAAAGAGTTCAAACCCGTCATGATGCAAGATGACATCTCTATTCCCATCGTCATCATTATTAAAGAGGTAAAGAAAAAAGCTTCGAAAGGAAGAAAACCGGTAACAGTACAGGAAAAAGTAGAACTTGTGTCAGAACTTCAAGATACATCAGAAACTGTTTATTCAGCTAATGTATCTGACGAGACGAACAGCTCCAGAGGAGCTATTGAACATGGTTCTCTGAAGGAGAAAATGACATCAGACACACTGAAAACATTCATCCTCTTCCTCCCGGGTGACATTTCATCTGAAGACTCAACCGAAGATTATTCTGATGAGACAGAATTACAAAAACGTTCAAGATTGTCAGTGGTGTACACACACAGTGCTAATATGACAGACCTGAACTCCAGCCTGTACACCAGACTAGGTGTCGGAAACGTCATTCCTGGGATAGACTTTCTTATCACCTCCTCTGTGTTACTGAAGACTGTTTCTGATGAGTGGTACTACATTCAAGGTGGAGTGGATGGTGTTGAGGGAACTGTTTTACTTGGGCCCTTTGCACTAATCTTTCATCCAGTACCATACCTAAACTTCATCAAGGTGACTGAGCCAGCTACAAGAGTACCTCGACACATCTATGAGAGACAGAGAAAGAGGTGGCTGGAGAAACATGGTAGGGGCTTTTGAATTTTGTTTCAATTTGTTAAGACCTAACTAAGGATATGCAGTCCATTTCCAACAATAAACTTCTTGACATAAAAATTATTGTCAATGCATGTGAGTTTTACCAAAATGGTAAATGTCTGAGAACTGCATCATTTGAGCCTTCATCCCACATGTCTTGATCTGACTGAAATACTGAGTTGTGACAAACCCTCATTCACTCACTCACTCACTCTCACAAATCTATAGACCGCCTCCGTGGTGTAGTGGTTACAGCGTCCGCCCGGAGAGCGGAAGGTCGCGGGTTCGATCCCCGACCGCGTCATACTAAAAGACGTTAAAATATGGTACTTGTTGGTCCCTGCCTGGCACTCGGCATTAATGGGTACAACAAGGACTGGTCGGCTTGGAGTCAGTATAATGTGTCTGAGTGGGGTATTCATGCTTCACTGCGGCATGGTATCTCAGTGGGCTAGCACTATAAAACCAGCTTCAGTCTGGGCTAGTACAAGCAGCCGCACTTACACATACACATATCAGCGAAAAAATTTCAAGTACGACGTTAAACCCAATTTCACCTCACCTCACTCTCACAAATCTATATATAAATGAAAATTGTATCGACTATGCACTTAATCCCAATCTGTTCCTAAGTTTATATTTTGTCTTTTCAGACAGGAGGCGCTTTTCCCGCCCAAGAGGTGGTGCTCTTGCTGACCAAAACCTTGTCAGTAAGGATCATGACTACTTCACTAACCAGTCAGACAGGAGACAGAAGATGGAAACAACAGAAGGTATCTTAGCCCTGATGGCAGTAGTTCCAGCAAGTGCACTGACCAGCAAGCTTTTTAAATCTTTGTCACTTTGCAAAATGTTCAACATGTCACAGAGCTAGCACTCCCGGCTGAGCCTAATTAGATTTCCAATTCATTCTTGTATGCTGCCAAATACTACTGGTATATTTTGTAGAGGACAGTTAAATATATTCCAAAGATGATTGTCCCCAGTACACTCAATGACATCAGAGGGGCGGTGGGGTAGCCTATTTGAGAGTAATTCTTAAAACGTCCACTTGTTACACTGAAGAACCGGATGCAATTCCCCACATGGGTACAATGTGTGAAGCCCATATCTGGTGTCCCCCACTGTGATATTGCTGGAATATTGCTAAATGCCGCGGCGTAAAACCATCAATGACATCAGACAGCAAACAGCCCAAATTTTCAATGATGAATCACAAATGATTTTGTGCCCTCTCTCAAGTTATCATGTTAGTATCGATTCACTATCTAGATAATCATGCACAACAATATGTAAAGAATTGGCAAAAGGCCCACATGTTCTTATTTCAAAATAAGAATCTGTTTACAAACAAGAAAAAGGTAATTTAATATCCTACATAGTGTTGACATTGGAGCAGAAATTTCTCTCACAGAATGTTTCTGGTGGCGTCGTCCGTCTCTCTCTCTCTCTCTCTCTCTCTCTCACTCTCTCCCTCCCCCACCCTCCCTCAATCACTCACAGAATGACTGAGCAGAGCTAAGTAAACTCAGGGTATCAGCTATTGTTTGCAAACATTGCTTCACAGCAATCAACAAATTAGCCCTTTGAAATCAAATTAAATATTTATCATTATCAATTCTCTCATAGAGTACATCACCCCAGCAGTTGGACCTAGTCTTGTGAGTGATGTATGAACAAACTATGAAGGTTAGTAATAGTTTCAGTATTTGTTCACAATGTTTATCTAATATTTCTTAGCAGGTTCTGAAAAGGTGAATGGTGGTCCAAGGGAGATAACTCCACACCAAGGATCAGTTGCAGACATCACTTCAAAAGACGAGGTACAATAAGGAAATGTCAAATTTAAGTGTTACAATAAGGTTCATTACCAGACATGTTCAAATGCCTGGCAACTGGCTCTTTGGTTTTCTTCAATTTGGCCAGGATTAAACCAGGACTGGTCAGCTCAAATTCAGTATACTGGGTCTGAGTGGGTTTTGTGCTTACAAATTGCAGTTTGTGCTGACTGCAGTATTTATATAACATAGGTTAACTGAGCATTTACCAATTTAAGAAATATAGTATTGTGTTTCCATAATTGACTGTTGAAAGGTTCTAAAAATCGGTTTACTGATGCCAAGCAATCCATGTTTGTCGAAGAAGGTGACTAAGGGGATTGGGTGGTCAGGTTCACTCACTTGGTTGACTTCATGTTATCATCTCTCAAATGCATAGATCAATGCTCATGATGTCAGTCACTGTATTGTCTGGTCCAGAGATGATTATTTACAGCGTGCTAGGATTTAGTTGAAATATTGCTGGCAGTAAACAGCAAACAAACAAAACATGGTAGCCATTTTCTCTCACCATGTTGATTCTCTGCTACAGGAGGTGGTCATTGTGTCTGTGCGAGGTGTAGACCCATTTGTGGTCAAGGAAGTTGCAGATTCAGCTGCTGTGGCGGAACAGGAGGATGAAGACCTGTATACATACAATGAAGACACCGAGGTAGGATATACCAAGTCTTTATCCCACACAGCCATCTTTGTTATACAACCATCATGTCAGTGTGTTTTGTCTGTCCCAGTGCTAAGAGTCAGTGAGTGAGTTTGGTTTTATGCCACTTTTAGCAATATGGCAACAATATCACATCGGGCTTCACATATTGTACCCATGTGGGGGATTGAACTCTGTCGGCCAACACTTTAACCCCTGTCTGTCTGTCTGTCTGTCTCTCTGTCTCTCTCTCTCTCTCTCTCACTCACACACACACACACACACACACACACACACACACACACACACACACACACACACACACACACACACACACACACACACACACACACACACACACACACACACACACACACATTCCCCAGGTGCTGAGAACACTGTGATGAGGCCCTGTTAAATCTGATTCTTCAGATGCTATACGGATGTGCTAGTTGTTCACTTCTCGGATGAAAGAGTCGTCCAGTTGTGCAATGTGTTTCCTTTTCAGTGTTAATGCCTGCTGATTGGTTGGTTTGTTCTTTAACGCCACACTTAACAATATTCCAATTTCCAGCTATATAGCAGCGGTCTGTAAATAATCGAGTCTGGACCAGACAATCCAGTGGTCAATAGCATGAGCATCGATCTACACAAATTGGAAACGATCACATGCATCAACCAAGGCATGTGTCCCGTTAGTCGTCTCTTATAACAAGCATGGGTTACTTAAGACCAATTCTAATCTGAATTTTCACTGGTCAACATCTGCTGACTGAACCCCAGGTAGATCCAGAACATGATTCATAGACCGCATCAGCATCCTGAAACTCGTGGGTTTCTCCTGAGTTGTTTCACAATCTCTGTCTGGACAGACTTGATTATTTGCAGGCTGCCATCTTATTGCTGGAATATTTCTGAATATGGTGTTAAACAGCAGGCAAACAAAGCATTTTCACCACAAACACTTCAGGTGCAACATGTGTAGCAGCACCATTGAGCAACACAGCTTGGATATTACATGCTCCATAATCAGTTAAAGTAGAAATTCAGCAACAGTGGGTTGGGTGATCCTGGGTGAGGCCGACTTTTCTGGTTCACCATCAGCTCAAGGCCCTTGCCCCCTCTACTCGCAGCCCAGACAGCAAATGGGATAGTCGAACACATAAAGAAATGTCCAGTGAAATCTGCAGCCTTCTGCTTTGCCCTTATACATTATTTTGTTGTTGTTGTTGTTGTTGTTGTTGTTGTTATAAAATTTAACATTTTCCAGCTGCAGATCCCAGTTGTTGGTAGCTTAGTTGAGGCCTTGGGAAATAAAGAGAAAAAGAAAGGTAAAAAGAAATTTCTTGGAGTTTTATCACACAACCCCATCAAGGAATTAGTCTGTTGGTTGTTTGTTTCAGAATGTTACCTAATCTCCAGCGTCTGATCTATCAAATGTGCTCAAATATACAGAGCAGACTGGTCGACCACCATTTTCCTACTCATTTTTTTTGTCTGATAAGGATGAAGTTGCTTGTCTGTCATTCACTTTGTGTCAGTTATCATTAACATCTCCTCTAACACCACAGAATCACTGAAGACTAAACTTCACATAAGTGCTTGCTCCAATCATGACCCCACAATTTGTTTAAGATCTTCTTATCAGATTTTTAATATGGACACTCCAGCAGCCATATGTTATGACCATTACTGTGCCACGGCTGCATAAATGTTGCTGACCATCACTCACTTGACCTTGGCTTTGTTTTTCAGTTGTACCTCAAGTTGCAGACAGCATCTACGAGGATGTTCCCTTTGATGAAGTGCCTGCTGTTGTTGCCGAGTCTACACTAGCATCTGTTGGTGTACAAATAAACTACCGGCTGCTAGGAAAACAGGGTATTGACCTGTCCACACAGAAACAGACTCCAGTTGTTGAGAATGATGACTCGCATCACTTACCCATGAGATTCACCTGCAGATACTGCCTGAAATCTGTATATGACAATTTCCGACTTGCTGAGCACATCCGCACATGTCATCAAGATAGACCTGGATTTATAGAATATGCACGTCAAGTCAAGTTCAAGGAAGGCTTCCGTTGCCAATACTGTGACAAGGCTCCTGTGTTCCACAGTCACGATAGCATTCGCAACCACCTCCGGGTCCATCATCCCGATAAAGTCTCCATTCCAGAACCATTTGTTTCAAGAAGGACTTGTCAAACATGCAAAAAGGTGTTCAGCACAAGAACAGTTTTGATGACACACATAAGACGAATGCATGAACATAAACGTCTGCTTTGTGACAAATGTCCAGCCATCTTTAAAAGTGAACAAGGACTCCGAGATCATATGAATGGCATGCACGACAACATAAGGAACTATATTTGCCACATTTGTGGAAGTGCTTATGTCATTAATGATTATTTAAGAAAACACATCAGACGTGTTCACAACAAATCACAGAAATCTGACAAAACCAAGGACACAGCCAAACCAGAAAAGAAAAAACCAAAACCAAGAGGGGAGACGAAGAAATGCCCCCTATGCAAATACAGCTTTGATTCCCTCAACATGAAAAAACATCTCAAACAGATTCATGGAGAGACCAAATCAGTTGAGAAGAGATGTCCAGACTGTCCTGAAACATTTCCTAGTCGCTGCTTGCTAGAATATCATCGCAGCACCACTCATGACTATGCATACCAGTTAAACTGTCCCTTCTGTGGAATTGCCTATGTACAGTCTAAGGCAATGCAAGATCATGTATTGTCCGTTCATTTAGACATAAAGCTCCATCAGTGTGCCATGTGTGATAAGATCTTTCCACGGCCAAGTCCACTGATAGAGCACATGCTGACTGAGCATAAGGGAAAAAGCATCCTTGAAGAGAACCGGAAGCTGAGGTGTCCACACTGCTCAGACATTTTCAGGACCCACAAGGACCTAGTGGAGCATGTTCTGTCACCCAGTCATCATGAGATGTTTCCACACAGGTGCCCTACATGTTCCAAGAGGTTCATGCATGAGACTGTACTGAACCATCACATCAGTATCTTACACTCCAATGATGCAGAGTTTGAGATCCGATGCAACTCGGACAAAGACAAGTTTGTTCAGATGGTGGTTAAGGAGGATGTTCAACACCTTGGGGAACTTCCACCCAAGGCTCAGGAAGCTTTGAAGAGGCTGCAGAATGAGGGGAAGCATGTGATGATCGTGGCCAAGAGAGTTGTCCAGAAGGATCAAGGCAGCTTCCAACAGACTCATGACAAACACCAGACAGTACCAGAGACTGATATCAACCCTACTGGGAAAAATGAAGAGTTTACTCAAACCGCTTCTCAAACGGTGCAGGCAGTGACAAGCAGTGCAGGTTTCCCATCTGATGTAGATAGTGCTACACCAAAGGTGCAGCTGGTGAGTAGCAGTGCAGGTTTCCCATCTGATGTAGATAGTGCTTCACCAAAGGTGCAGCTGGTGACTAGCAATGCAAGTTCTCAAACTGATGTTAACTATACTGGTGTGATTAAAAAATCCGACATTAAGTCTCTGAAGAAGAACAAAATTGCAGCCATATCTGGAGAAACAACAAATGCTGTGTCTGTTATTCAGCACCAGATGTTAGAGGAGGAGGGGGCGATTGTGGTGATGGAGGAGACTGGAAGGCTTGAAGGTGGTGGGAGTGTTGAGGACAGAAGGGAGTATAGTTACACACTGACACAAGACCCTGGAAGGCAAGATGGGAGTGAGAGTGGTCTGGAGAAGTATGTAGTAGAAGAAGACTCTGGCAAAAAAGAAGAGAGGGTTGTTGAGGAATGTGTGGCAGCAGAACACATTGCGAGACAAAACCAGAGCGTTCCGGAGAAGCATATTTTTACACTGGACACAGGGACACTAGAGGAACCACAGGAGATCTATGTTATACAGGAAGATGGTAGAATGCTGAAGGTGAATGACAGTGTTCTTGGGGCACAGTTTATGGTAACTGAGGACATTGGAAGTACGGGTGAAAGGGAACACATGGAAGCTGAAAGGATGCAGGCATCTGATACACTCCTGGAGGAGAGATACGTGGTCGGGAAAGACATTGGGCAGCAAGTTGAAGGTGGCAACATTGTAGTGGAAAGAATAGAGAACTACATGGTGGCCGATAACATGGGTAGCACGGAGCCTCATTATCTGGTCGCAGAACAGATTGGAAGGTTGGATGAGGATGGGAATATTATTGAGGACAATGTGGTGTTTCAGGAGGAAGAGCCTGTCTCTGATCTTATGTACTTTTTCCAAAACCAGTAATAATATCTTTCATTGCCAGCTTTGTGGATCTGATGAGCCTATCATGCTGGGAAAATGAAATGGAACTGAATATAACAACAGATCATTTGCTGTTATGTTTTCCAAAGGGAAAAGGCACAGTGGGGTAGACTCAGTGGGTAACATGTTCCCTCGTCACACCAAAGACACGGGTTCCACTCCACTCACTCATGTCTTGGTCACATGCCTTGGTAGATATACCGATTGCAGAAGTTGGTTTCTGAATATTTACCCCACAAGTCAGGAAATGTTTCACATTTTCAAGGTTGTTTCTTTCTTCCTCCACTTTGGTCCATGAAGAAAATGGCCTGACCTAACCTGACACATTAATCAAGCATTAGGATGAAAATGATTTCAAACATGTTTATATTAAGAAGTAATGTTCTCTATTTGTATATTTACAAAGAAAATTACTGTGTGTCCTTGTAAAATCCTTAGCAGATTGTGAATCTGTGTGATTATTCTTGTAATGTCAGGATATAATTTAAGGTTATGTTACAATACAATGTGTCAGCCAAACAGTATAGGATGTGGACAGTACCATGGCCTCCTGGTAAAGGTGTCCACTTGCTACGGGGCGGTGGGGTAGCCTAGTGGTTAATGCATTCGCTCGTCACGATGAAGACCCGGGTTCGATTCCTCACATGGGCACAATGTGTGAAGCCCATTTCTGGTGTCCCCGCTGCGATATTTTTGGAATATAGTGGCGTAAAACTAAACTCACTCACTCCACTTACTATGCTGAAGACTGGTTCAATTCCACACATGATCATAGTATGCTAACCCATTCCTTGTGACAGCTGATATTGATGGAACATAGTGTAAAGACTCACTCATTCACTATCTTTAACTGACTGACTGAGTTTAGTTTTACGCAGCTTTGAGCAATATTAGAGCAATATCAGGCGGGGGGACACCAGAAATGGGCTTCACACATTGTTGCCATGTGGGGAATCGAACCTGGGTCTTCAGCATGACGAGCCAACACTTTAACCTCTAGGCTACCCCACAGCCCCTCACTATCTTTAAAGTGAGACTGAGAGGTCATATGTCTTTTGTCAGGTTGTCTGTTGATAAATTATATCTTTTCTACATATTACATTTTGCTGTTATTCATAATTGTTACTGTTATTCATGTATCAAAACCATGATGTGGATTTACAATAAATACGGTTTATATTTGACCTGGTTGTATTTTCATTAATCTCATCCTTGTTCAGGGGACATCAGACAAAAGTGCACCTGGGTGAATGATTCATGAAGTACCACTGGCAAACTGAGCACCTACTATTCTGTTATAGTTCTTCATGATATGCCTGATAGACTTGAGTGACTCCCTAACACAGAAACTGCCTCCGTGGTGTAGTGGTTAGAGCGGAAGGTCGCGGGTTCGATCCCCGGCCGCTCATACCAAAAGACGTTAAAATATGGTACTTGTTGGTCCCTGCCTGGCGCTCGGCATTAATGGGTACATCAAGGACTGGTCGTCTCGGAGTCAGTATAATGTGTCTGAGTGGGGTATTCATGCTTCACTGCGGCATGGTATCTCAGTGGGCTAGCACTATAAAACCAGCTTAAGTCTGGGCTAGTACAAGCAGCCGCACATACACATACACACGCATGCACGTCGTCATATGAGCGAAATATTCTCAAGCAGGACGTTAAACCCAATTTCACCTCACCTCACCCTAACACAGAGGATAGAGTATCTGCTGTGTGAGGGTGAGGGGAAGTTTGATGGTGAGGTGAGGTGAAATGGGGTGTAAGGTCGCAGTTAGGAATACTTCGCTTATATGAGGACGTGTATGCGTGTCTATGTGCGGCTGCTTGTACTAACCCAGACTTAAGCTGGTTTTTAGTGCCAGCCCACTGAAATACCATGCCCAAGTTAAGCATGAGTACCCCACTCAGACACATTATACTGACTCCGAGCCTTGATGTACCCACTAATGCCGAGCGCCATGCAGGGACCAACAAGTACCATATTTTGACGTATTTTTGGTATGATGCCGCCGGGAAACGAACCTGCGACCTTCCGCTCTCCGGGCGGACCCTCTTACCACTACACCACGGAGGCGGTCGGTTCAGTTGATGGAATATTGCTGTGTTTGGTATGACACATCAAACAAACAGACCCCAATGGCTTGATTGAGAGGAGCAACCTTGTTTTTGCCTTACCGATTCTCTTTGAATTTAATCAGATTTTGGATTGCTTCAGACATCAAGCGTTGCTGTCACGCTGAGACACTAGTGTTGTCATGGAAAGATAACTTTCAGGAGTGCCACCCACCGTCTCTGCTTAATGCAAGTGTTTCTAGTACAGTACCATTAGGCGGGCTCCGTTTACCCACGGGATATGAGGGTTAGAATAGGTCCGCCGCAACCTGTGCTTATTGTACGCGGTGACTCATTAGATGGGTGGTGGGTTGGTAGATGAATGTTACCATACCCCAACGGCATGGGACATTTCTTATAAGTGAGTGAGTGAGTTTACTTTTACGCCGCACTCAGCAATATTCCAGCTATATGGCGGCGGTCTGTAAATAATAGAGTCTGGACCAGACAATCCAGTGATCAACAGCATGATCATCGATCTGCGCAATTGGGAACCGATGACATGTGTCAACCAGGTCAGCGAGCCTGAACACCCGATCCCGTTAGTCGCCTCTTACGACGAGCATGGGTTAATAAAGATCAATATTCTAACCCGGACCTTCACGTGTCATTTCTTATAAGGCTATCCGGGTTATTTCCGTGTTACCCCATTACCCCTACGTCCCTGAACTTTTATTCCAACGTGAAATATTAGAAAGTTTTCTCATCTTAAGTTTACGCTGTGGAAATGTATGCCCTGGAAAAAAAACTCTCACTCTTGCACACACATAAAAAGACACAGTCAGCTACTAAAAGAAAAATAAAGTAGATCTCTCTTCATCTTCATTTATTAAAAATGTTTCCGAAGCGAAACGACTGATATCACCACTGTTAGTACGAAATAGTGTAAAATACGTGTAGAAATCTTTCGGAAAATTCAATAGTTGTATTTCAACATGTCTTTAAATACTTTTCATCACTATTAGCAATACGATTCAAGACGTTAAATATTTCAATTAATTTTCCTGACCACTCACTTTGGAAGGTACCAAAAACATCTCAACTGCACAAATTAATCAACAGCATTCCCAGACATAAATCTACAGCTGTGCGGCCTGTGCCCTTAAACCTACAGTATTCTTAACTGTACAGAGGTAGGCGCTATGTCGGGGGCGGATAGAGCATTTTGAGAAAGTGGGGGTGCACACTATTGAGAGAGAGAGAGAGAGAGAGAGAGAGAGAGAGAGAGAGAGAGAGAGTATGTAATCACGTGACATAACGTGTCAGACATGTTTCACTTGCAAACTAGAGAAGGGGTCAGGAGTGAGTGAGTTTGATTTTACGCCGCTTTTAACAATATTCCAGCAATATCACGGTTGTGGACACCAGAGTTGGGCTTCACACATTGTACCTATGTGGGGAATCGAACCCAGATCTTTGGTGTGACGAGCGAACGCTTTAACCACTAGGCCCCACAGCCCATTCATGAACAATGAATTTTACACTCAAGCGCTTTTTTCATTGATACTAAATATCTATACATGATGAATGAAAGTCCACATGAGTATATATGAACAGATAAACTGTCAAAACATCATGTACCTTGACATTTATCTTTTCTTAATTGGAAAAACACCATAAACTTACTGGTAGAAGCACAATTTTCAACGATCGTCAGAAAAATCTCTGAAAGGAGCCTGGGCAAGTCTATGAAGTCGGGCGGAAGTGAATGGACGGCTGGGCGACGGTCCAAGTCATGTGATCTTGGCGGAAGTGTGTGTTTCCAGAATCCCGAGGTGGTATCTTGAGTGTAACGGTTATGTACATAGCACCTCACGAACCAAGATCTACGTTTGTCTGAGAAGGTAACTAGTGAAGAGGATTCGTCAGTGCCACCATGAAGAAAAAGGTTTGTTGTACAGTATATTCCTCGCCCTGTCGACATCTGTTGAACCCGCCTTCCAACTGCAGTGCAGTGTGCATGTTGATCAGCTGATTCATTGATTTGTGATCGCTAGGTTTGTTTTCATTTGTCAAATGCGTAAATAAAACAAACTGAAGGACACACCATTCACCCATCATCAGGATGTGTGTTCATATTGATATAATGTTGACCACAAATGGTCTGATTGTTGGAAGTCTAAAATACTGATGAGTTGCTGTTATCTTGATTATGAGCACAATAATGATAATAAAAGATTTAGTTATTTCGTGGTATTTAGAATAAATATTCCTAAAATAAGATAGCTATGGATACCGGGGAATTCTCCTGTAATAATGTCTTTCTTTGTCTTTATCCTCAGTAAGGGTGGGGGAGGGGTGGTGTTCTATATAGTTATGTAAGATGTTCTAGTTATGTAAGGTGCTGTCCAGGACCCGGTTGTATCAAACTTTAATGAGGCATTAACGTGATATTAAACGTTTATTAAGTAATGTCATTAAATTCTGTTGTACTAAGATTTTAATTACGTTGTTTTGTCATTAGCGTGTCATTAACTTAAGGGCCACTGATCCAGAGCGATTATTGTTTCCAGCCAACAGCCTAATTACGAAACTTAGCTGCAAACTGGTCAGCCCCTGCTCCCTCGACCGTGACGGACACGGGGACTGGGCTACTGTCCACCCTGGCAGAATTTCTTCAACCTAATCAGTGGGACATTAGGAAGGGTGGATGCCCATCGGTTGCCGTTATTTGAAAATATCCCCGGTAGTTCTTGACTGATTGTAATAAAGTATCCCAGCAGTGTAGGCTTTTTCAGATTTTCAATTGTTTGGATGGTAAAGTGACAGATCCAATTTGATCCTATTTCTGTGTTTTTTTACCTCAATATTTAATCATGCAAAAATATGATGTCTATTACATATGCTATGATATCAAAAACACACATTTGATATATTTGAATCCATAAACTAAACAACCCCACTTTGCCATTGCAAAATAAATCTGAAATTTTACTTAGGTACATAGGTATATACAGTTTTTAACTAAGTACACAGCAAATGCTTGTATATATTTCTTATGTAATAATGAAGTTCCGTTCGTATCCTCAAAACAGTGTCTGCCCATAAGTTGTTGTTTTTTGTCAGGCAATCAAACTTGCATGCAATACAACGATTACTACTCTCTTGCTGTAACCCTTGTTTGGTGGTAAACCTACACGTTATTTGTCATCATTCACTTGATGGTCAGTTAATGAATTTATAACAGGTATAATTAGTGGTAACACCACTCAGATTACCCGAAAAAGGTTCCCATTTGGCATTTCTTGTGTCTGGAGTAAATACTCATCATTATAAATTGACGTGTGATGTGGCAAATGTATTACATCTTATGTAATATGCGCATGGAAGTGCAGTAAGAGGAATTATCAGCTGAGTTACAAAACAAACATCGATCAAAGGATTAACCGATAACATACTGATTGATTAATTGCTTTTATTTTTGCAGCGGATTTGTCAAAAGGTAGTGTTTATGTATGTATATTTACTAATCTATACTGAATACCCCTGTCGTAAAGTCTCTTTGTAAAAACAACGTCCTTCCTTCAAAGGATTAACCGCCAATACATTGATTGATTGCTCATTATTGTCTAACTAAATGTTAAAAGACACATGACATGGAACAGGATTCTCTGTCAGCTGCAGATGAATAGCATCTCATTCCTTTATGTGGATATTGATGGATACATTCTCCGAACAAGGTAATAGCCTGATAGTGTGAAATTAGTTTCCTGAAACCATGTGTGAACGATACGCAAAGTATACATTAGTAATAAAAGTAATCGGCAGGACAGTGTGATTGGGTTTACTCTTATTCAACTGACCTTCACCTCAAAGAAATTGCCACATATGTCCAACAATGTTGATGTATGACATCACTACCGATGACCGATTTCTCATGAAATGGCGGCTTTGTGGATATCTGTGCCCACGATTTTGCGAGGGAACCTTTGTCCATAAATATATGACGTAAGTTATCGGTAACATTCTGACTATCTGCGTATGGTTATTTGTTTTTATTGTTTTCATTGAAAAGGTCAGAAATGCCGATAATTGCCTTTGTCGTTCTCCATGATTTTGCGTCTGGCATGGCGTATCGCTGCACATGAATACATCAAATTCAAATTTCTGTATTGTATCTGTTTTTAATTTTCTAGTTCTTGCTACGATACTCTTTCCGTGTATATTCTAAAAGTATTGAGCTAATGCATTCTATGAATAGACAAACTGATGTCCAAAATCTTGAGAAAATGCTGCCCAGTATAAAATCTGATTTTCGCTTTTCTAGCAAGCCACAACGCTCCGTTTTCACACCCAATATGTTTCGGTTTTTCTAGACACTTAGTTTTAATGACAAAGACCATTTGTAAGTTAATTCTAAAATGTATGAGGAATTCAGCGTTGTATTTGTCACAACTGAATATGAAATATACGTAATGTAATAGGCGTCATATCACCGGCTTTAGCGAAACTTGATTTTGTAAACCCAATCCAATATGGCGGAAAACTCACTTCAGCGTTCGTGTTCGCATATTTTCCAAAACTTCCCAACCGATTCTAGGTTTATCGGCGACGTTTCAGAATTATTTAGATGTGTTTCTTCCCAGCAGTCGAAATGTTTGTTTTTGTTCCAAGGTTTAGCCGTAAAGATGCCATTTGACGGACGACCGAGAGTAACCCTAACGTGTTTATGTTGCAGAATTGTGGGAAATATTAAGGGGAATCCCCGAATTTAATGAAAATATTTACGTTAGGATGTCATTAGATAATGATACGCTAATAAGTGTTTGATACAACCGTTTTTAACGTTGCCATTAACTAATGATGCATTAAGGATTTAATGTATCATTAGGGTTTAATGTTGACATTAGTTAATGAAGCAATGATACAACCGGATCCAGGACATTAATTGTAAGATCTTACATGTTGCTTGTCATCAGTCACTCTGCTTCCCATGAAGATCCGGGTTAGAATCCATCTTCAGCAGCACATGCTTGTCGTAAGAAGCGACTAGCAGGATCGAGGTGGTCAGGCTCGCTGACTTGGTTGACACGTGTCATTGTATCCCATTTGTGTAGGTTGATGCTCATGTTGTTGATCACTGGATTGTCTGGTCCAGACTCGGTTATTTACAGACCGCAGCCATATAGCTGGAATATTGCTGAGAAATAACTCAACTGAACTCACTCACTTCAAATAAATGTTGAAACTTTCATACAGCTTCACTGTCATGCCTGCGTTCAGTTGCCATGGTTACATACAGTTTTGTGTGACTATTTCAGGTGTTGTTGATGGGGAAGAGTGGGTCAGGCAAGACCAGTATGAGGTCCATTATCTTTGCTAACTACATCGCCAGAGATACCCGCAGACTGGGAGCTACAAGTAAGACCAATTTTCATATCGTTATCGTTAATAATTCTTCTCATTTCAGATTATCAATCTTTTTGGCCAGCCCTAACAGAAAGTGATTTAGACTCCATTGTGGGACAGGTTGCATAATGATTTTGGTAAACATGACTAGGTTTAGCACTGTAGTGTTCTTTAGACAATGATGTCACTGCACTTTGACGTGATGTCAGATGTCATGTCACATTACAAATTGATCACTTGCTGATGGAAGTACGTCATGCAAATGTCCACACTGACGCTGCGCTGATCCAGAAACCAGTGAAGATCCGGGTTAGAATTGATCTTCAGCAAGAGGCAACTAATGGGATCGGGTGGCCAGGCTTGCTGACTTGGTTGACTCATGTCATCTAACCATGTCATCCGGGTTAGAATATTGATCTTAAGTAACCCATGCTTGTCGTAAGAGGCGACTAACAGGATCGGATGCTCAGGCTCACTGACCTAGTTGACACATGTCATCGGTTCCCAATTGCGTAGGACAATGCTGATGCTGTTGACCACTGGATTGTCTGGTCCAGACTTGATTATTTACAGACCGCCGCCATATAGCTGGAATATTGCTGAGTGCGGCGTTAAACAACAAACCAGCCTACCGAACTGATCCAGTGATACAGGATTTTATAGCAATATGGATCCGGCTGTCTGTCAATAACAACTTCTAAAAGCAAGAATATCAACAAATTCTGTGAAAATATTGATGCAAATCATATCACACCCTAATTATTGGGACCAACCATATTGTCACATGTCAAGTACACACTTTCAAAAGACTGCCTCTTGGAAATAATGACGTTAGACAACATATTCCAGGGTTTTTGTCAGTGTGAAGTCAGGTGATAATGTGGCGGGTCCAAACTTTCTACCCAGGTACCCCACCCCCTAGTACCCTCTCCCCTACCCTACCCGGATACCCGTTATGTTATTGTTAATTCCTGACGTCAAATTTGTAAGAAATGGCAATATATTCTCAGAGGTACAGATAAGCTGTGTATCTGCGTAAATTACGCAAATATTTATGTGAAAACTCAATTCATATTTAGTATATTGCGTACAAGTACGCTTGAATTTTGTAAATACTCAATAAATTTGATCTTACATGCGTACACACAAAAATGTCGAATCATAGCTTGCGTAGCAGTGGATAGATAAAATAACTGAGGTATATTGAGAGGTTCTATTTCAACACATGAACTTGGCAACTTGCAGTCTTTCTTATCGTTTCTCATATTACAGATCCAATGTAAATAACATTTAAACTTTATTATATTTTTACAATTAATGGAAAATGGCAAAATACCCAATTGAGTTTGAGTGAGGTGGGTACAATTTATGTGGTTACTCAAGGAAAATTCGGATACCCAATTGAGATGAACACAAGCGAGTGCATAACTCAATGACCCAAAAAGTTATCTTATAGTTATCAAAAAGTTATTGTAGCTCTGACTCTTCAGCTCGGAGGCTAAAATGTTTAGACAACTTAACCATGTATTATATTCAAAACAGGTGACTGTAAATTATGTCTAAATCTTCAGAGACAATACAACCTTTTAATCATGAAAGAACAACATATTACAATATTTAATCTGTTAGTCACGTGGTCATAACGGGTCCGAATGTTGAGATGGGTACCCGGTCCAACTTATTACCCACCCGTCCCGGTATCCGGGTAACCCCTCCCAGCCCTAACTGTGGCTATATATTGACTAGTATAAATGACATGAATGTTGTGTTTCAGTTGATGTGGAACATTCTCATGTGAGATTCCTGGGCAACTTGGTGTTGAACCTGTGGGACTGTGGAGGGTAGGTCGATATCTTGAACCTGTGGGCTTGTTGACACGAATAGATTGATCATGTACATGTATATTGTTTGATACTGTAGAGATGTAGGGTGGGTTGAGATACGGAACCCGTGGAACTGTGAAATTTGGGTTGATATATTGGATTCTGGATGGGGTATTGATGTGTTTGTATTTATCCTCTGGGTCCTTCAACATGTTCATAGTTTGACTTGTATATATCGAACGTGTGGCAATGTGGAGGGCCGTTTGTGTCGATATTGAATCCTGTGTAATTTAATCAAGTAATAATTCAGCGTAAATTAAAGCATCGAGTCACTGCATTTTATGTATCACCACAAATGTCTATTTACCTGGATCTGATCCCACACAGCTATCTTAGTTCCACGACAATTGTAAGCCTATGTTAAAGTATGGAGTTACGATTGTCGTGGCACTAACATTGCTCTGTGTAAGCAGGCCCTGATGTCTTATGCCTTACTGCTTGTTAGTCATAATGACTAGAGGTGTGACGATACAGAAATTTCAGGATACGATACGTATCGCAATACCATGGAACGATACGATTCGATACGATGCATACCACGATATGCTATCTTAGTTATTTTCTTTAAAAAAGTGTATTTTGATAACAAGTAACAGTGTAAATTTTGACATAACCATCAATTTCTAGTGAAAATTCACAATTTTAAGGTCAACAATACATATCACGATACGGAAAAAAGTATTGATATATTTATTGCCAGAAAAAGTATCACGATTATCGTTACTAAGATATGTCGTCACAGCTCTAATAATGACACACCTTGTGACCTGCAGACAGGAGGCGTTCATGGAGAACTACTTCGCCAGTCAGCGAGACAATATATTCCGGAATGTGGAGGTGTTGATCTACGTGTTTGACGTGGAGAGTCGGGAGCTGGAGAAAGACATGCACTACTACCAGTCTTGTCTGGAGGCCATCTTGCAGAACTCCCCCGAGGCTCGGATCTTCTGCCTCATCCACAAGATGGACTTGGTGCAGGACGACCAGAGAGAGCTGGTGAGGAGGGTGGGGGAGAGAGTGAGTGAGTTAATATTTAACGTCACATCGGCAATATCTCAGCCATATTGTGACGAAGATGGGGGAGAGAGGGTTGGGGGAGGAGAGTATGGGGTGGGGCAGCTCACTAGGCAAGGCTCTTTTGTAGATTAGTTTGGTGTTTCCGTCAACCTCATCAGTGACTGAATTGTGGGCAAATGTTATCAGGGCACACAAGAGTACATATTCAGTTAACATTTTGAAGAAGAAAGTATATAACCTGTATCAACTCTTGTATTATTATTTGTCAAGCATATCATGCAGGACTTATGTTTTAGTCATTAAACCAAGCAGTAAAATGATTATGATCATACAGATACATACAAATGCTGAGCTAGTGCCATTTGTGTCATCCAACAGCAAATCAACTGGGTAGTTTGTTTTTTTTCAAAATTGGGATTGGTGGGGTAGCCTAGTGGTTAAAGCGTTCGCTCGTCACGCCGAAGACCCTGGTTCGATTCACCACATGGGTACAATGTGTGAAGCCCATTTCTGGTGTCCTTGCCATGATATTGCTGGAATATTGCTAAAAGCGGCGTAAAACCAAACTCCCTCAATTTTTCAAAATTGGCTGATGGAGGAGGTTTCTTGACATGAACCTTATGCTAATTTCTGGATTATACTAGCATTGTACAAGTGGCATTGCTATAGTATGTAATGCAATTAATATAATCCATAAGAAATAATTTTCTTAGTAGTATAAAGTAACATCATCCATGACAGTTGACAACAGGTGACTCAATGGATGATCACTTGAATGATAACGTGTCATCATACTCCTATAGCATGATTGTGTAGATTGATGCTCATACTGTTGATCACTGGATGTCTGATCCAGACTCGATTATTTACAGACCGCCACCATATAGCTGGAATATTGCTGAGTGCGGCGTTAAACAACCAACCAACCAACCTGTAGCGTGGATCTTTGCTCATAATATCATTCACTGGATTATCTGGTCCAAACTTGATTGTTTCCATGCTTGTATCCTATAGCTTGAATATAGCTGAGTAGTAGTTAAGACACAAGCAGAGGTACAGATAAGCTGCGTATCTGCGTAAATTACGCAAAAATGTATGTGAAAACTCAATTCCTATTAAGTCTGTTGCATATAAGTATGCTTGAATTTTGGTAAATACTGAATAAATGGGATCTTATATGCGTACATACGAAAATGTCAAATCTTAGCTTGAGAACCGGCGGATAGATAAATAACTGAGGTATACTGAGAGGTTCTATTTCAGGACATGAACTTGACAACTTGCAGTCTTTCTTATCGTTTCTCATATTACAGATCAAATATAAATAACAAACACTAACATTTAAACTTTTTTATATTTTTAAAATTAATGGAAAACAGCAAGATACCCAATTGAGTTTGAGTGGGGTGAGTACAATTTATTTGGTTACTCAAACAGGGCTCCAGATAATTTCTCAACATCAGGAGTACTTACTCCTTATATTTTCAATATAGGAGTACTGGAAAAACTTAAAGTACATTTAGAGTACTGAATGGAATTTAATGGTGTATCAGTAATCTTGTGTTTTGTTTCATATATGCACCACAACATTGCTACTCTTGTGTAAACAGGTCAATGTACAATAAAACAATAATTTTTCAGATAAATACGTCTGTAAATGATTCTAAGACCATACACCATTGCTATGGTGCGTATCTGCCACGTATCCTAAATTATTTCCTGTCGTATCGTGCTTATTTTATATCCGTACATACGCCAACACAGCCTTTATCTGGAGCCCTGCTCAAAGGAAAATTAGGATACCCAATTGAGATGAACACAAGCGAGTACATAACTCAATGACCCAATAAATTATCTGTAGCTCTGCACAAGCGAGTACATAACTCAATGACCCAAAAAGTTATCTGTAGCTCAGCACAAGCGAGTACATAACTCAATGACCCAAAAAGTTATCTGTAGCTCTGTACAAGCGAAGAAATGTTGACATGAAGGCATGGGTGCATGAATATTCATTGTATTCAATTGTGTTGGCAGATATTCAGGGAGAGAGAAGAGGACTTAAAGCGACTGTCGAAGCCCCTCCACTGTACATGTTTTGCTACCTCAATTTGGGATGAGACATTATATAAGGTAATGCTGTTGGGTTAATTCCAGACATAGTCACGAGGAATATGGTCAACAATCTGGTGCCTATCGTCTAGACATTGCAATAACCTCAATGCATGATTATAGCCATTCTTGGAGGGTAATCAGGGTATTCATTCATTATCAAATCAGATCTTTTTCTTTGTATGATACCACCCAGCATCTTCTGAAGACATCGCCATAGGAATCAATGTATATTTTCTTCACCAGTTTCAAAGACGAAGCGTGGGTTCTTGAGACAGAAATCTGAGTAACTTTCTGAAATGATTTGATTTGGTTTTCGTCACCTTGATTTGGAAATTTGATTTGCAGAAATGAAAACACAAAACTACTTTCCAGGGATGGCAATTTTCCGCGGATCCGCAGAGTTTCGCCGATTTTGTTTCAAATTGATCAATTCTGTGAATCGTCTAAATCCGTTGAATCCCCCTCAACCCCCAAATCTGGTGACATAATATTAAGTTTGCAGCTGAAAATTGATTTTCCTGTTGCCATCCCTGACTTTCAGTGGTTTTCCCATTTAGGTGTAGAGGCCAGCTAAGAAGTGACAGGATTTATTGAGAATGCGGTTAGGTAGCCTGGTGGTGAAAGCGATTGCTCGTCAAGCCGAAGACCCGGGTTCGATTCCCCACATGGGCACAATGTGTGAAGCCCATTTCTGGTGTCCCCGGCCGTGATGTTGCTGGAATATTGCTAAAAGCGGCGTAAAACCAAACTCAGTCAGTCAGTCGATTCCCCACATGCATATCGTGTATGAAGTCCATTTCTTTTGTCACACCACCATGAAATAGCTAAAAGCAGCGAATAACCATACTCACTCACTCATTCACTTGAAGGAAGAGATATACCGCACTAGATCAGATTTGAATGAGATAATCATTAGAACTGATCCCATGTTGGAACAAACTTGTGCTTTTCTCCCACTTACTATGGATTTTTTTATGAATATTACATGTCAATACTTCTCTCTCTTCTCTTGAATGACTATTTTGCGATGAGGCCAAATAAAAAAATGTTGTTCGATTACACCTCTTTAAAATCTAGGGTAGGTAGGTAGGAATATTTTTTTTTTTACATATTTGTTTTAGAAGGAAAGTACAAACTAATAACACATGTATCAATGTATTTTTTAGGCCTGAGACATGTTTAATGTAGAGAAGTAATAATGTTGTTTTTATGTAGGGTTGGTCGTCCATCGTGTATCAGCTGATCCCTAATGTACAACAACTTGAGAACAACCTAAAGAACTTCGCTGACATCATTGATGCTGACGAAGTGCTGCTGTTTGAAAGAGCTACATTCCTGGTGAGTTGTCTCATGTTACCTCAACCGGATATCGTGGTCATGGTCTGGAAATAGGCTTATGTTGTCTTTTGTTCTCTTATTTAGTCGGCCGCCTCCATGGTGTAGTGGTTAGAGCGTCCGCCCGGAGAGCGGAAGGTCGCAGGTTCGATCCCCGACCGTGTCATACCAAAAGATGTTAAAATATGGTACTTGTTGGTCCCTGCCTGTTGGACTGGCAGGCTCGGAGTCAGTATGTGTCTGAGTGGGGTATTCATGCTTCACTGCGGCATGGTATCTCAGTGGGCTAGCACTATAAAACCAGCTTCAGTCTGGGTAGCACTATAAAACCAGCTTCAGTCTGGGCTAGTACAAGCAGCCGCACGTACACATGCATGCACATCGTCATATGAGCGAAATATTCTCAAGCACGACGTTAATCCCAATTTCACCTCACCTCACCTTATTTATTCCTAATGTATAATTACAAGACAACCCCTGTGTTGCAAGTGATCTGTAGCAAGCCATGCTTGTTCTGAAGTTGTGGTCAGGACTTTGATGAAAAATGCAATGATCAATGCATCAAGACATTAATCATTGGATCGTATGGTCCAGACTAGATTATTACGGACTGCTCTCGTATAGCTGGAACATTCCTGAGTGCTACATTAAAACAAGAAACAAAACAAGGCTTAAGAGACCACAGTCTTTTTTAACCAGATCAACATTGTATTGCTAGTGATTTATGAAGCGTTGTATTGAAGGTGACCTGTAAAGGTATATGGTATGTGACCTGTGAACATTTGCAGGTGATCTCACATTGTGAACGGAAGCCTCATCGAGACGTACACAGGTTTGAGAAGATCAGTAACATCATCAAACAGTTCAAGCTGAGTTGTAGCAGACTGGCCGCATCCTTCCAAAGCATGGAAGTCCGTAATTCATCCTTTGCTGCCTTCATTGACGTTTTCACCTCCAACACATACGTCATGGTCGTCATGTCGGACCCAGCAATACGTAAGTATGGCCCACATCTGTAATCACCACACCCAAGCAGAGTCGCCTCCCTTAGTGATACCAGTATAAGCTGATCATAGGTTTGAATCTCAGATGGCCCTGGTCATGCTGTAGGTTTGACAGCACCACACCCATGCAGAGTTGCCTCCCTTAGTGATACTAGTGTCAGCTGATCGTAGGTTGAATCTCAGATGGCCCTTGTCAGGTTCTAGGTTTTGACAGCACCACACCCATACAGAGTTGCCTCCCTTAGTGATACTAGTGTCAGCTGATCGTAGGTTTGAATCTCAGATGGCCCTTGTCAGGTTCTAGGTTTTGACAGCACCACACCCATACAGAGTTGCCTCCCTTAGTGATACTAGTGTCAGCTGATCGTAGGTTTGAATCTCAGATGGCCCTTGTCAGGTTCTAGGTTTTGACAGCACCACACCCATACAGAGTTACCTCCCTTAGTGATACCAGTATTAACTGATCGTAGGTTGGAATCTCAGATGGCCCTTGTCAGGTTCTAGGTTTTCACCAATTAGCATCTTACACCTTCATTTCTTAATTAGCATCTCAAATATTAAGTGTATTGTATTTCTTTATTCTTCCAGCTTCTGCCGCCACGCTCATCAACATCAAGAATGCTCGCAAACATTTTGAGAAGTTGGAACGTGTTGAACAACATCCAGCCATAGCCAGCAGATGATGGGAGTAGACACACAGTGCTAGTGTAATACAACTTGCTGACTTGACATTAATGTATGTGTGTCTGCAATGGACGTACGATGAGTGCGTCGATGTACATGACGCGTCTATGATGGAAAGTGTTGACAGATGTGATTTTTCAGTGAGGAACTGTGGTTCAACATTGAATCCATGAATGTTCCCAAATAATAGAACCATTAAAGGGATACAGGTCCCGTTGTCACATGACCAAGTTAGGGGAGATATGCCTCAATTTTTCAGATAGATTTGCAGGGGTGATGAATATTCAGTGAACCAAATTTTCCCTCAAGCTTGAAGACATATGTTTATTGACATTGTACAATACAACCAGCAGTAACTGTCTTTGTAGCACACTCTCTTTGACATGAAATGCTCTCCACCTCGGATATCATGTTGGAATGACTTGTCATCCCAACGTCATCATGTTTTCTGTAATATGTGAATCTGCTTTGTTAGCAGAATGTGAAAAATATTTACATATACATGTATTGATAAATATTAATCCAACTTTATATTTAATTTATATATTATGCATTTTGTGCTGATTTTTCCAAATTTGAGATTCATGAAATTCAATCTTATTTCATTTTTTTTCAACCAATCAGATTCTTCACACTGCTTCATTTGGCAACTTTTCACAAAACCAACATGGCAGGCCATTTGTATGAGGAGCCTATTTGTATGTGGTTCATTACAGAACTGGACTGTCTCAGTACAAGCGGAGTTGCATTCGGGCCTGTCTGGTGTTATAATTCTTAAAGAAGTAATCATACTGTATTTCTTATTTCAGTGAAAATAAGATTCATAGATAGGTTGAAACAGTCAAGACCCATGTTTGAATACTAATTATCTAGACCTGTTATTTGGGTTTGATGTTCCATCCAAAATCCAAAGCAGATGCCAAATCGTAAATACAAGTTGCCTGATTCAAGACATTATCTATAAGGGACTGTTCATAATTTATGGCTAGGGGGGGTGAGATGATGATTTATTTTTATTTATTTGGGGGGGTAACACCCATATTGTTTTAGGAGTCAGCAATTTTGTACACACGTACTGGGGGGTCAGCAATTTTGTACATAAAAATATGTTTAAAATTATGCTAGAAATTATGGGAAGGGGAGGGGGTCATTGATTTTGTACATGACATTCTGGGGGTGTCACTTATTTTGTACATGAATTTAGGGGGTCATTCACATTGTACATGCTTCTACATAAAAATCATTTTCCCCCACCCCCACCCACCCCACTCATAAATTATGAACGGTACCTAAGTACATTTTGCTAATATTACAGCTTTATGACTTTGTAGGTGTGAGTTGTACAACACTGGGAACTGGACCAATAAGTTGAGGATTTAGTCCTTTTATTTTCATTTTTCCATTGAATGTAGTCTTGCAATACGCCTTAAGTCAACATTAAAGCGACTTTAAAAATATTCCAAGTTTGAAAGATGTTTTTCCAGCCAATTTTGGCCCAATAAGGAATCCTCAGTAATTAACTGAAAATGAGAAAATACATTCAGAAATTCTTGTTTTTATGGTCTTTAATGCTGCTTATAAGTCAGGTAGAAGATGTAAAATATATTCTAATCACATTCAATTATATTGTTAAAGCAATACAAGTTTCACAACATACCTACCCACTTGTCAATACTATTATAATATTTGAGAAAACCTGAGAGCGCTCCTGTGGAAGGGAAATAACCCTGTTGAACCAAACTGTGATTAGTTAGCCACAAAAATATGAAGAAAGTTGTGATTTTGGGTCTGTTGCCAGGATACTTACTTTATGTATTTATTTTTAGCAATTTGTTTTGTTTGTGATACAACATGTGTTACTGTTTTCACTTCTCTGTGTGTATTTATATCCCAAACACTGACAAAAAGCACCATGTATCTCTGCTAAAGTAAAACTTAAAACAAATTCAAAATGTTTGTCTTGCTGAATAGGTATTGCGGTCAATGCCAGTACATCATGGAACATTACACGTGTATCAATATATAGGTCCGTCTCCTCTTCTCGCAGGTTTCCTATTCTCGCGGCAAACACGTTTTCTGCTGAAACCGCCGATGCGCGACACTTACCGGTTGTTAACATCAGCCGACTGGTAACTAGGAAGTGGACCAAGTCTGTGAGTGATCAAAATCTTGCAGTGTCACGAATATTGGGGAGTTTATACCAACTTGGACATATCATTACTTTTTCCCGCCCTTTCCGGCAGGATTGCCCTTACATACACTCAATAAAGTTGATTCCTGGTAATACCGCGAGAATGGGAGAAGCCTCGTTTCATCAATGGCGGATGGCATTGTTTATCACTGCGCTCACGAGTGGTAATTCACCTGATGGATCTAGCAGCTGATAGATGTAGATGTTAGAGGAGAAGGCCCTTCATTTAAAAACAATAAGCATTCATACGATAAGAATTGTTTGTGTTATTTTTTTAGCCGATATCTGTAAGTACCGCGAGAATAGGAAATGCCTTCCTACTACTTATCACCAAACAACCCAACCCCCTACCCCCAACCCCCAACCAATTTATCGTAGCCTTATAATACTAAGCACTCTGACTGATTTCATGTCCTGTGTTTACACTAAACTCCATCAAATATGTATTTATATTCCTGTTCATATTCAAGCCATTCTTACTAAGACTGATTATCAGCTGTATTTGCTTTGTGTCACCTATATGTTGGGTCATTTTATGCCAATTACTATTTCATTTTAATTTTAGGCCAGACCAATTTTATTTCTTGTTTTACAGATTTTTGTCCTCAGAAAACCTAAAGGCAAGAGGGAAAAAAATATAAATAAAATCACCAGTCAAAGTGATATTCCTTCTAAATACTAAAAGTAGTTTACTCTTGGCAGTGTACATGTATATGGGGAGGGAAAAATAATCTAGAAAAAATTCTTGTAAGTTTACATTTTTTGCCAATAAAAGCATTAGGATTTTTTAATTTTTGGGGGGAGCAGGGAAACTTAAATTTTTTATCTTCTTCTTCTTCTTGAAAACTTACGAATGGTGGATCCGTGAAACAAGAAATAAAATTGGTCTGGACTTATGTGAAATTTCCGAGTAGTGAGGGCGAAACATCTTGCATATTTTTTCAAATACAAAATAGAACTAATAGAATTGGTGACCACATCCAATGACTGTCAGAGTGTTTGAATTGACAAGACATGCTTGTCTTCCCATCCTGAAAGTCTGTGGACAGACAGGATACATGTTGTTGTCACAGAAATAGATATGACCGAAGAGCAAATTTGTCACTTGATACATTTTAACATGTCAACAGCAGCATGTACTTGATTACAGAGATGGGCGGAGTTACTCCGATTTTCAAATACAAAATCTGCTGTCCGATTTGTCTTTAAAAAACTCTGATATCTTTCAGAAAGAATTCTGAAAAATGTTTTTACAGCATACAATTTCGTAAGTCACCGGTGATTTTATTTGAGTCGATACCAGTAAAAGCTTTCAGAAGCTTAGCTTGTTATCTTTTGGATATCGATTGTGTATATTGGGTGTTATTGGCGACAAAATTTCACGAAGTTTTTCCAAATGTATGTCATAGCCCGTATGTAAGTGAAACAAAATGGCAGAGCTGACCACGTGTTTACCCCCAACTTGCAGCTTCTGTACTTGGGCCTTACTTCCAGCCAGGCATGACACCGCTTTCATTAGATTCAGGGTTGGCATCTCTGTGATTATAAGAGAGGAATATTAGTGACCACCCATTTTATGGTGTACATTGTATTCTTTTGTACTACTTGTAAAATCCTGTACACCTGAGTCTTGGGGGTGGGCGATACAATGATAATAGTACTAAGTCCAGGTGTAATAATGTGTGATTTTGGCAGTTTCTTCTACTTTCAGGATTTTTAGTTATTAGAATTCGACCACTGCATAATGTGATCACTGCATAAATTATGTGTCATTCTTTGCAGATAAGCATTGCAGCTGACAAATACATAGAAAAACAGAGTTACATCCCTTTTCTCTGCTTCTTGACTTATGACCGCCATTTGTTTTTCTTCTTTTTGTGTGGAGACCCCTAGTTTGCAATCATTGTCCTCTGTTTGAAGTTGATATTTCTGCTAAATATCAGTTAGTGTAAACAGTAACTTTTTCAAGTTGGCTGAGGAATATTTCCCAGATGAGTTTCTTTTCACTTGCGTCGTAATGGTCGTAACAATCATACCCATCTGAAAGATGGTTCAGCTCCTTACTACAGAAGAATATCAGGCAAAGCAGCACATAATTGTTTTGATGATCATAAATTGTTTTATCAAAAATAAAACTATTTCTGTCAAAGTTGAAGAAAGTGGCCTCTGACCTCAAGTCAAACGAGACTGTCTAGATTGCCTTCTGCCTTGCTTACAAATGTAGCAACCTGGCTTCAATAGAAAAATATTTTAGCATGTTTAGCCAAATATTTTTTTGATAATCAGCAGTCTAATTTTGAGTGCCATGCATCCATAAACTCCACATTCTTGTTCTCTTGTGACAAAAGTTTGTATGTATGATTTCCAATGTTATTTGGCTAGAAATGCATTTCAAATACAAAACAAATACAGTTTGTCCTGAATGGTTGAGAGCCCTTTCCTTCTCTGCATATGCAGAGTTACTCCCCTTCTCTGTACCAGAAACCTATGACTTTGTTTTAGATCCATGATTTACCTTCTATACATCAAAGCATCACATTGGGATTATCTCTCACATTAAGCTGAAACATGATATCACTGGAATACTGTAAAAAGCATCACCAAGCCAAACGCTATCACTTTCTCACAATAATATAGTGTAATAGTCCATGTCATCATATCCCGTTGTGCAGATCGATGCTCATGCTGCTGATCACTGGATTGTCTGGTCCAGACTTGATTATTTCACAGACCACCATTTTATAATGCTGCAATATTGCTGGAGTGTGGCGTTAAACAACAAAACAAATAATATGGTCCATTTGCTTGTTCCAGTCTTACATGTATTTCTGAAAAATTAATGTGATTATACATTGAAGCTTGCAAGATGCTGTTCGTGGCAAAATGTTGCACAGCACAATTTGAGAGTTACGATTATCACAAGTTTCTGTTGAATTTTTATTTTCTCAGTGCTAAAATGGTTTTGTACTGACTGAGTTTAGTTTCTGTTAGCAATATTATATCAAGGCTTTCTCAGTGCTAAGATGGTTTTGTACTGACTGAGTTTAGTTTTACGCTGCTTTTAGCAATATTCCAGCAATATCACAGGCGGGGGACACCAGAAATGGGCTTCACACATTGTACCCATGTGGGGAATCGAACCCGGGTCTTCTGCGTGACGAGCCAACGCTTTAACCACTAGGCTACCCCACCGCACCCAGATGGTGTTGTAAAATGGACATGGTGCCATGGCAGATGTAAGTTTGTTTATTATAGCACTACACTGAAATAACATAGCGTAGTAGAGGGTTATTACTAGATAACAGATGGCACTCAATATAGTCGTCCCAATGATATTCTCTATTTATTGTGTGTACAGCTGTACATATGTTCATATATATAGATATATCTGTGACCTGTACGTGCCCCTGATGTCAACTGTCTTCTTTCAATATCTTCTTCGAAAAGACATGGTCACTACCTTACAGGTTTTAGTTACAATACATTCCTCCATTACCTGTGAAGACCATTTGTGGTGTACTCAGTAATTTTAGCCATATCCTTGCTGCCATCTTTTCATTGGTTGCTTCAATATTATGCAGAGTTAAGTCCCTTGGGCATGCCAGTAACATGATTGTGGGTTCGAATCCAAGTTTGACTGATTATTTTAAGGTTTGTCAGCACCATACCTGTCCTTGTGCCTTTCACCAAACTGGAATCACTTCAGGCTTCTTTCCCCACTATTGCACTAGGGACGGGGCCTAGTGGTTAAAGCGCTCGCTCTTCATGCTCAAGACCTGGTTTGATCCCACATAGGTACAATGTGTGAAGCCCATTTCTGGTGTCCCCACAGTGATATTGCTGGAATTTTGCTAAAAGCGGCACAAAACTATACTAACACTATTTCACCACACATTGTTTCGATGTATTCTCAGTGATGGAGGAATGAAGTGTACACAAAACCAGTGACCACCCCATTCAGACACAGTATACAGATTCAAATATGACCTAGGTGACATTGTACAAACTGATGTTGGCACTAAGGTGATCGTAACTCCTTTACCTTATAGACTTGAGAGAGTCGTAGCCCTAAGGTGATCGTAACTCCTCTACCTTATAGACTTGAGAGTCGTAGCACTAAGGGTGCTTGGTACAAAGGCATGCTGCCCTTGTTTTATCCTCTTAATGATGATTGCCAGGGCTCTGTTGTACAAAACAACCTTAGCACTATGATCGCTTTGTACAATGACACCCAGGGCCTAGATTTTCGAAGCTGTCTTAGCGCTAAGATAGTCATAAGTGCCATACACTAAGAGAGCATCGAAACTCTAGGCCCAGGTATGACGCAACCACAGGAAGGAACCACCAACTTTTCCTCTCCTGGGCCTAGATTTTCGAAGCTGTCTTAGCGCTAAGATAGTCATAAGTTAATGTTAAGGTATGGTACTTATGACTATCTTAGCGCTAAGAGAGCTTCTGAAAATCTAGGCCCAGGCAGATACTCTATTTGCTGGAGACCACAAAATAAGGAATGTTTTGTCTTTAAATGAACCTGAAAATCGATTACCAATCTTTTTAAGGAAATGTAATGAAGAAGATTAATTATGCAACTGTGACACTAAGACTAATGAAATTGTGTTAGTTAGTCTGTTACAGAATGTATTAATGCTAAAATATGAAATAAAACATAAAGAGAAGCTGATGTTGTTTATATACTGATATTTGCAGACTACAAAACCACTCCCAGCTGAAAGTTGTACAATTTGATCTGTATGCTTCTAGAGATTGACCTATTATTGCAGGACATGTTTGCTGATGTCAAGAATCAAGGGATCAGTAGGATGCATGTCCTTGTTGTAATTCGGAACATACCCATAAGATAATAAGTCATTGTTCAGCGATGTTTTTTATTCCCTGCAACAGTGAAGAAGTGGATATAGAAATGAGTTCCATCCGTCCGTGTGTCCATCACACTTTGTCCGAAGCGTATCTCCTAACCTATTTGTGATAACTTAACCAAACTTGGTACACGTCAACCATGATGACCATTTCTAATCAGGCATTTCACAGGTGGTAACGATAATTGCCATCTTGTAACATCAATTGGTATGATGCAGCCAGGTGCTTCAACCCCAACCTACTGCTGATCAGACAATGAAAGAAAAAAACACAGGTACGATGTGATACTTTATTTCTTTTGTTAATTTGTGAAATACACGACAGGACTAGACCAATGGATTACACTTGTTCATGATTAATGTTTTATCTTCTGAAAATATACAGTGAAATAGATGTGAAGTAGGAAAGAATGTAAATTCTGAGTTAAATGTCCAAATATTCTCAGTCATAAACAATCTTAAGCTGTTAAGTATGTATAACTCAGGCAACTTGCTGGCAAACAGTTTGTTTCAGTGAAAGTATAGGACAAAAATACAAATGTACTAGAAAATATTATAAAAAATATACATGTATGATGAAAATTGCACAGGTTTGACAATTTGAAGAATTACTTGGATGTGGCATCTATTTCACTAGTGATTCCGAGAAAAGTAATAATAATGTCTGAACAACTTAGTTGGATAGTGATAAGCTATTAGCACGATTGTATATCACATTTTTATACAGATAACATTCACACAGATGACACAACTGGCATTTACAAATCCATTTCTTAACAATGGCACATCACTAAATCATATATTGTTCTAATAATGGATGCATATTAATGCTTTAATTTGATTTCACAAGACAGCCAGTCACACGCTCTTTCACTCATAATCATGACCGTACTTCACACGATGATATCTGCACTACAACTACTTCTAGACAATGTTCAAATAGAGGACTCCTGATGGTTGTAGCACAAAGACAGCTGAAGTGAATGGAAAGACCCCAAGATCTATTGCCTAAAGCTTTTAAACACTTTGGATATTTTACTTACTTGATTTCATAATCAACCAGCCCCAAATCCAGAAATGTGAAATAACAATTACCGGAAGTGCTTTTCGTTAAGTAACAAAAGCAGCCAGGTGGTGGAAATGAAATGAGATTTTTCTTTTACCTGACCATCTACTTCATGTGTTCAAATTAAAAGAAACATAATGAAAATATCATGTAAGTTGCCAGTGATTTCATGACATCTGATTGTTGAACCAAGTAATTGATGTGCTTTTGTTTCCATAAAGACAAAAAAAGATAGCCAATGCCCACTTGCTAATTACTGTTTCCCAATTGAAAATGGGCATGTTTTGTTTGTTATTGCACTAATATGTCACTAATTCTGTAAAGCTGTCTACAGTTTTTACCTTTCAATGATTATGCAGTCTGAAGGTGTTATAGGCTTACTTTATGTCAGGGATGGCAACAGGAAAATCTATTTTCAGCTGAAAACTTAATATTGTGTCATCGACTTGAGGGTTTCTCAATAGATTTAGACGATTCACAATTGAACAGTTTGAAATAAAATCAGTGGAAATCCGTGGATCAGCGGAAAATTGCCATCCCTGTTATGTACTGACTTTGGTATTACTTTGAATTTGTGGAAGTATAAACAAAAAGCAGTGTGCACATTCTGCACAAATCAGCTTCATAAAAGCTTGAGTGCACAGTGGATAAATACTCTTAGCATACATGTACACAGTGTGTATACTGGTTTTAACATATATACCTCCATAAACACAAAACAAGGTGACCACCAACCCTCAAGTCTTCCTAAAAATACCCTTAAACCAACTGCCAAAATCAATTTAAAAACCGTATACTACAATGTTGAACTAAAACACTTTCAATTAGTCCCTAAGCTAAATTGTTGGAGCAAAACTATGTGGAAACTGAACAATCCCATCCAAGCACTAGTCTTTCATGATTTGGACACTTCTTATAAGGGATCATTTTTCTATTTCTCTATCCTATAAAGTGACATTGGCTTCAACTACAATCATGGTTCTTGCTTCCACAAAGAGACTTAGCGTCATAAGACCAAATTATTTCTAGCTAAAGACTAAGATTAAATGGCTCCTACAAAATAAATATGTTTGTTTTCAAGCTCCACTTCATCAAAGTCATCTTAATGCTAAGACCTTCATATCTATGAAGCAGTAATAAAGCCTAACAAAAGTCTTAGCACTAAGATTTGTATTTTACTCATGGGCAGGCTACAGGACAGTGAATACTGAATATATTGCCAACTCAGCTGTTTTTGTTTGAGTGTTCATTTCAATAGGAAGAGGTGAGGTGAGGTGAAATTGGGTTTTACGTCCGTGCTTGAGAATATTTCGCTCATATGACGACGTAAATAGGAAGAGGTTTTATTTCAATCAATAATCAGGTCTATTCGACTACAGCAAATTTTTGATAACCTGAGTGTTGTGCCAAGATTGGACAGACTCAATTCTAAATATACAACATTCAGCAGCAGATGGTGTAACATTAAACAATTCATTCAAGTGAAGTCGATGCGATATTTTTCCTTGACTGGCATATTATCCAAATATATCTTTGTAAATAAGTTGGTAATTCACAACAAATGTGAAGAATTTGGATTAATTAACACTTCCGCAGTAGCAATCATTAATTCTCATCATATAATATTTGTTACACAACACCCAATATGTGGGTTTGATTTTATAATTACTTTGAATAAGACTGTTGAGATATGCGCATGAAGTAAAATACCTCTTCAGAATGAAAGCAAGTTTAAATAAGCAGCTGCAGTTCTCCCTGTAGTCAAGTTTACAGAATATTCTCCACGACCTGATCCATTGATTGAGCATAGACATCAAACAAGGAATGAAATGGATAAAAAAACACACATTCAGACCATGACCTCTTTCCCTTATTTGGGCAATCTCATTAAAATCAGCAATTTTACTGATACGATACCTTTCTGCATGACATCCACAGAAGATTACCGAGTCCAGTGAACACAAACCTAACTGAAGTATGAGGTGTTGCTTGAGCCGATCCAAGTTCTGGCCCCGATTTTCGAAACAAACTTAAGTCTGAATTTTTACTCAAATTTGAGAAAACACAGGAAAATGCATTTCCCAGAATAAACTGAAATCAATATTAAACTCAAACTTAGCAGACAATTTGAGTTTGGTGGATAGATTACTTAAGTTGTTTGGGCTTTTTTAGTTAAAAAATGCAGTTGAGTTAAAAATTCAGCTGTTTCAAATTGTCAAACTCAGTTTGAAATTTGAGAAAAAACTTAAGTTTGTTCAGAGAAATCGGGGCTGTGGGTTTTAAAATGATTTGGACTTATATTTGGAGAGGTATTGCATCAGAGTAAAGATCTGACGGTAATGAAATTGCCAATTTGATAAGTATATTTCTACTATAGCAAAGATTCAGTGAACCTGTCCAGTAGACTTCCTATAGAGCATTTGAGACAAGACAGCACAGACTGAGAGAGAGAGAAGAGGAAGAAAGATGAATGAAAAGACAGTCACAAACACACGTCATGTAGCACACAACAGGGTAAAAAGTTACCCGATAGGCTGAATTTGAATACAGGAATTTTGTGGTGAGTTGCATATATCGTGATTCTATTCATTGACAGATTACTATCAGGATCCCATGTAGCGTAACTGCAAGGACTCATTAAAGATATTAATGATCTTTTACTTCAGAGGCATGCTTTTAATTTGATATGACAACTTTAAATGTCCTCATTTCATCATTGTTGGGTTTTATAAGCATATACCATTCCATAATACTTCTATCTTGTAACGGTGTGGTGAAGCATAATCTCCTGCTGCTTTAACATAGTGAACCTAAAATAGGATAAAAATATCTAAGAAAGCATGACGATACTTCTGTAAAAACCCTATCAGCAGGGAGGTAGCAAGTGTACTATACAACACTGTGCCCCTGCTTGGTAGAAAATCTGAGGTATTCTTCATAATCCCAATCTGTCCAACATATCATGCTTAATTTTGATAGACATATTATGTACACATTATGTCTCCATACAAGTTAGATCTGTCATTACCTAAACTCTACTTTTATACAAAATGGAATTACTTTTAGCTCTGAACTGAAAAGTTAATGCCCAAATTTTATGCTTTCATTTTTGACCCATCAACGTAAATGCTAAATTTGTAAGATATATTTGAAATACTTCATATCTAATCAATTATTTAAACTTTTCACATGGGTCCTAATTTCCTATAAATTATTATTGCAATTTTGATCTTCTTAAGGTACCGTCAAAAACAATAAATATTTAACAATGCATATATAAAACATATTCAGCCATTCAATAATAACTAGTTGTAATCGACATGGGTAAACATGATGCGAAACTGTAGTGCTCGGCTGAGTGTCCTTGTCTGTGTACCTCCATCAGCTGCCATCACAACACTTTGGGGGGCCGTCAACTGGCGATATCATTGTCAATTTCAATGTGGCCACTAGGACGTGTGTACGAAGCACAGAGGACAGTGTTCATGATTGACACTTGCTGTACTACATAACACATGCTGCCAGCGATGAAACACCTTCCACATCAGACTATAAGTCGTTGTTGTCTATTGTGGTAGTCTTAGCAACTTCGTAGAAAACTCTGCAATAAAGATTACAGCATTGGAAGAATTTGTAAACATTGAGTTTCTGGAATGAAGCAATATTACATCTCATATATTAATTGGTTGTCTGACAACATGAATGAGTGAGTGAGTGAGTTTAGTTTTACACCGCACTCAGCAATATTCCAGCTATATGGCGGCGGTCTGTAAATAATTGAGTCTGGACCAGACAATCCAGTGATCAACAGCATGAGCATCGATCTGCGCAATTGGGAACCAATGACATGTGTCAACCAAGTCAGTGTGCCTGACCACCAGATCCTGTCAGTCGCCTCTTGCGACAAGCATGGGTTACTGAAGATCAATATTCTAACCCGGACCATCACGGGTCGACATGATGACAACTCCCATAATTTCACAGACACTTTTGATAATCAAAGTGCTAAAATTGTTTTGTGGAATGGAATCCAGGATTTTGTAGGTCACAGAGTTCCAGAAGGACAAAATATCTTATATCCAAAAAGGTCATGTCAGTATACTTCATTTATATTTTGGGACTAGAAATGTAAGGGAAAGCTGTAAAACAAAACAATCTGATAAGATAAATATAAAATCTATATTCAGATAATTACTGAATCTTGACTTCATTGGTCTTGCATGTTAGTCGAGTAGAGGAAAACTGGAACTGATGCAGATATTTACTATTTTGGTGAAACACTTGAGCACAGGTATGGTATTGGCACAGCTGAGATTTATTTCGACAAGGTTGATGTTACATCTTTTGTGACAAGGGTATGTGCATTCCGCTGATTTTTACCAGATTCAAAGTAAGCTGTCTAATATGCATGCAAACAGCGAATGGACGTAAATAACCTAAGCCAGTCTTGGAGCGTGCAAATATGTTTTGCTGCCTGATTCATGGAGTTCAGAAGTGGACAGTTGCTTGTCACAGAAACCTGAAAGTCTGATTCTGGTAGACAACACACCTAAAGTGTACAGCATCAACGATTGCTTTTCTTCTATCAAACATTGAAATCCCCCACTATAATGGGTTTAATGATCCTGATCATGATAATGGCATAAGTAAAATTATCAGAAATCAGGCCCCGATTTCTCGAAACAATCTTAAGTTTTTACTCAAAGTTCAAACTGAGTTTGACAATTTGAAACAGCTGAATTTTTAACTCCACTGCATTTTTTAAATAAAAAAAGCCCAAACAACTTAGTAATCTATCCACCAAACTCAAATTGTCTACTAAGTTTGAGTTTAATATTGATGTCAGTTTATTCCCGGAAATGCATTTTCCTGCGTTTTCTCAAATTTGAGTAAAAAGTCAGACTTAGTTTGGAAATCAGGGCCAGGTGAAGCTTGCCACATGTGGCAAGGATGAGACCACCAGAAATTATGAAATAGTCGTCTCTACATGAACATAGAACAGTCGAGATAACTGCTTTGTCATCATGTGCATCTGTACAAATGGTACTCACTTGTGTGCATACTTGGACCTGATGGTTGTGAGCTGTTTGTTTGGAGGTGACTTGATCACAGTGTTCAACTGTCTGCTGAGGTCTCTCAGCTCGGTCACCTCGTAGCCGGTGAAGTGAACCATGGTCCGAGTCTGAAAATTCAACAATTAAGTCCTTTTCTTTTCAAGTGAATAACAACCCTGAATCATATATTTTAATTTCATTGATAAAACAAGGGATATTCTACCATAAATTATTCAGTCAGTTTCTCTTATCTATTGACATATTTTTAAATTTGTATATTTGTCACACATAATATGAGTTGCTTGTTACCCATGTTCCTTCCTTCTTCATGCAGAGAGCGAGGTAGAGAGTGGCTGCACCCAGCTTGGACTCCTTCACCGACAGCAGACTGTACTCCATGAGGGACATCTCCAGAATGTAACGAGCAAGAGTCAATGTCTCCATCGCAGCGCGAGCACACTGGAATACATCACCATAGATAGGCATCACAAACTGCCTTATACTCTTTGTACAGTCTGAATTAATAAATCATAGGAGAAAATTTCAAAGATCCCATTAATTTACAATGATCATTTAATAAAAAAAAAATCCAAGCCTTGTTCAAAGTTGTTGCAATAGACAATGGAAGATTGCATCTGCTGCTCAGTATATTACTATGTTTAGAGCAAGAGGTTTTGTATTGATGATTTACTGACTGAGTTTGGTTTTACGCCGCTTTTAGCAATATTCCAGCAACATCACGGCGGGGGACACCAGAAATGGGCTTCACACATTGTACCCATGTGGGGATTCGAACCCGGGTCTTAGGCGTGACGAGCCAACGCTTTAACCACTAGGCTACCCCACCGCCCCTGATGATTTAGAACATTTAACAATATTATTCTGAATCCAATAAGTTCATTTTAAGAGTTCATGACATGAGCACTCAATCAGTGCCCATATAGACATCAGAGCCGCTGCTCAAAGCAAGTTCCTCATCATTCTGTTTTCCAGCTGAAGTCTTGTTTGATTCCTGAACATCAAAATATTATCATGCACTGGATGCGAGTTGGTATAACTTGAGGTTGCATTTTGCAGTTTCAGGCTGCACCAGTGCAAACGCTTAAATCCACGCCCTGATACAACAAACCACAGATCATAAATGAGGCAATTTGGATCTGAACCCAACATCTACAGACCCTTCCCAATACTACAATTTTGCCACCCACAGCAAATACCAATGATTAAAACAGGAGCCATATGCAGTAATTTAATATTTTGAAATTAAAATTGTGTATTTCATAAAATGTATGACTGGTGATTTGCTGCACAGCTATCCAACCTTTGCATATCTCCTGAGGAATCTGTAGGATAGGGGCATTCCAAGGTCGAAGCCAACAATGCGAAGGATGTTCATCTCCATCTGAATAAACTCCTGGCGAGTGTAGGCATCGTCACAGATGTACAGAAAGTCCTCAATCAGAGGAGGGCAGCGCTCCTGCAAGTCAATGCGCACATGAAACATACTCTTGATATATATAACTGAACAAATGTTTTATGCCTACATCAGCAAGTTGAAACTGTCATTCCAGCTATAGCATGTGAGAAAATTCTCTTCAAAGTCTGATTCTCGGGATGATAATGTGATCAGCAGATCCTGGCACAGCCAAGGGACAAAACCTCAACAGTTATTTACTTCATAAACCACCAGCATGTCATCTTACAAAGTTACAGTGCAGTAACATTGATAAAGAATATGTAGTTTTGTAGTTTGATGTCAAAACAAAAATCACAGGAACTTCTGTCAATGTCAGCAAATATAACATGCTTTAAACCGAGAAACAACTTCAAGCTTGAAAACAAAAGGGTTCCCAGAACAATGTCTGTGTATGTTTAAAATATACCACACAGTATAAAAGCTTCAAGTTTCAACATGTCAGCTGACCAACTCACATCAAATTTACAAGCTACAAACAGTGACACAGCCCCAACCAGCTGCAGCACTTCCTTGAGGATCTGTTTCCGTGACAGGTAGGTGTCGACCAGCTTGACGGCAAGGTACAGAGTCTCATGGTTCAACTCGAAGTTCTCCTGCACCTCCACCAGCCAATCCACCAGGATACTCCGCATGTTGGGAGTCAGGTGTGGCTGTCGGGACATGTACTGGTCCACGTTGAACTTCACCTGAAACACATTCAAGTTATCGGACTACAGTCAAAATTTATATATTAGAGACTTATTAACAACAAGATCCTAGGGCTGAAAGATAAAAGAGTCATTAAGTACTTACAGTAATATTCACTGAACAAAATATCATCAGATGATGACATAAAGCCAAAAGGTAAGGTGAGGTGAATTTGGGTTTTACGTCAAACTTGAGAATATTTCGCTCATATGACGACGTGCATGCGTGTGTATGTGTATGTGCGGCTGCTTGTACTAGCCCAGACTGAAGCTGGTTTGATAGTGCTAGCCCACTGAGATACCATGCCGCAGTCAGGGTTTTACGGGATGCAAGATTCCTGCGTATTGGATGCAGAAATTTGGTGAAGTACCCCAAACTAAAATCCTGTGCGTCCTTGTGGATGCAATATAATTTTTTTCTGGGAAAGAACTTTCTGAGTTTGTAATGATATCTCATATTAAAATATAAACATTCTATTTACAATCATTATTCTAATGACATTGAAACTAATACATATCTTAACATAATCATTATCACACGGGAAGCATTCATTATCATTGATTTAATGCAAATTGATGGACCCCCAATTTTGGAAATGGACTCTCAAAAAAATATGCCCTGAGTCCTCAGGACTCCAAGTTTCGGAAGAGCTATGTAAAACCATGCCACAGTGAAGCATGAATACCCCACTCAGACATATTATACTGACTCCGAGCCAACCAGTCCTTGTTGTACCCATTAATGCCGAGCGCCAGGCAGGGACAAACAAGTACCATATTTTAACGTCTTTTGGTATGATGCGGTCGGGGATCGAACCCGCGACCTTCCGCTCTCCGGGCGGACGCTCTAACCACTACACCACGGAATCGGTCCATAAAGCCAAAAATATATCACCCAGACTTCCTATATTTTTGTGGCCTCATTTGTTACATCTTAACAGGTTTTTTAGGTACAGCGACAACCAACATGCTTTAGTTAAGGCATTTGTTTATGTGAAGAGCCCTGGGTCTCGATCCACAAACCATTCATAAGATTACAACATAGCATAACTCTATAGTTTGTTGTAGGCTTACGAATGTCATAACGCTACCAAACGTTATGTAGATCGAGATCCTGGGTGGCAGTAAAGATGAGACAATTATATAAACGATGTGTCCTTAACATTTCATCAGGATAATAAATGTTTGCCACACCAGGTTTGCAGTTAATAAGAACTAGCTCTTAGGCATTTTATTTCTCTTGCTCAGTTGAAAAACAGGAATAGCTTTGACTGCTGGTGACCAAGTACCGGTACCCACAAATATACTAAGCTCTTTTAAGCTGCATACCTCTCTCTCTTTGTAATATTCAAAGATGTCCTTAGCATACACAGCAGCTTGTGCAGGGTCTCCAAGGTTCTCCTTGTCAATATCGTCTATCTGCTCTTCCTCCTGTAAAACAAGTCTGTGATTAACCTTGGTCCCTCGCTATATATGCCTGGGACTTAGAGGCAGTAAAAGTAGTGTGTGATATTGACAGCTGCATACACTGCTTTTAACACAAAACACAAAGTCTGTGTGATACTGTATGCTGGAGAAAGGCATTTACTTCTCTGCATCAAACCCTTGTAAAGAAAAATCTACACAAAAATGGTCAAAGAATGACTGTTTGTTCTCAGAACAGATGTATTAGATAAATTTGACATACATGTTCAATATAGTTACTGTAGATTCAGTTATCAGATATTCCAAATAATCATAGAAGATTCCAAACTCAGTGCCCTCGGGCAGATAGATTTGGAATAAACCTATATTTTGTTGAAGATTAGACCTAAAGAGCAGCTGGTGAAGCCTGCAATGACTTTGTAGAACACCCAATAACATTCATTATCTTTAGAAATTATCACTGGTTAGTTCAGTCCAGCTGTTTCAGTCCAGACTCTTTTTATTGTTTGTGAATGGACACACAGCAATGTGAACTGTTGTGAACACACTGATGCAAGTACTTCTAGACAATGTCACGCAATCTTCAGGATACCACAAACGTGTAATGTGACATCATTACATTTACAAGAAAGGGACTCTGAGCTGTCGTCTCCACTTGAGATAAGCAAATCAATATATTTCCATATTTTCACACACAATAAATACCTGTGAATATCAAGAATAACCTCACAAACAATCACAGATTATTGATCCCTGGTGAAAACATCTGGAAGGGATTGTGACTTCAAAACAAATTTGGAACAGACATCCGAAACTCCTATAAGCTTGGTGATCATCCTGGTTGTGTGTTGGTCTTACCAGTAGCAGTTCCAGCTCATCAATCTCCTCTGATATGGATCTCTGGTGTTTGCTTGCTTCAGCTGGACTCAGAACTGACAACAGATGTTTTACACTTGAGAAGATAATGAAGATAGTTGTACGCTTAGGACTGGTTTGATAGTTTTTTGGTTGTTTTTTGTGTGGACCGTTTGGTTTACTTTTGTGTTTACAATGTCGATAAACATCATGTGTTGGCCAACCTCCGGGTGCCACTGAGCACCTGAAGCATGGGAATATTTCATTTGAAACCTCCGGCTGACGCCGACGGTTCCAAATGAATTCCCGTGCCTCAAACACTCAACAACACCCGGAAACTGGCCAACACACAATGTTTATCTCCTAAATACACAATGCCATTTAGAAAGTGGTCAAATGTAACACATGTTATATTTGGGATTACACTTTCTTAGTAAAGTACAGATTCTAGCACCTTTGTCGGGCCGAGTCCCCTCCGGGACTCGAACCCACACCCTCAGTGTCAGGCACCCAATCGCCAGCACACAGTCAGACGCCTAGTTTGATAGTTATATAACACATGGTGACAATGCCTGAGATATGTTTGAAGCAGTCTTTAACAGTTGATAAGACAAGTCACAGTGTGTACATAACTGATGATACCAGTCAGTCTGTAAATAATTGAAAATACAATTGACAGTCAGTAAGTATTTGATGAGACATGTCACACTCTGTAAATAATTGATAATGTCAGTCTGTACAAAACTGATAATACAAAGTCTGTAAATATTGATAAGACAAGTGACAGTCTGTAAACATGGTAAATAACTGATAATACAACTGACGGTCTGTAAATAATTGATAATACAAGCCACAGACACACATAACTAATCATGCTATTAAGACAAGTCACTGTCTGTACATCATTGATAATACAATCTGTAATATTTAACAATAGAAGTCACAGTCTGAGAATAATTGATAATACAACTGACAGCCTGTCAGCAACTAACAATACATTTTACAGTCTGTGAATAATTGATAATCATGATAATACAACTGAAAGCCAATAAATAATTGATAATACAATTGACAGTCTGTAAAGTCAATTGATAATACAATTGAGCCTGTCAGTCTGTAAATAATTGATAATGACAATTGCCAATAAATAATTGATAATACAATTGACAGTGTGTAAATAATTGACACTAAACTTGACAGTCTGAACAAGTCTCACTACCCAACCCTGCTCTATCATCATAGGAGGCTGGGGACTCTTGTACCGTAGATCCCTAAACCGTGTAACATTACAACATGACCCAACAAAAGAAAAGATAGTTCTGATAATGTAACGTCCCAAATGTACACAGATTAGGGTGCTGTCATACAAAACAACCACAGCGCGCTACATCTATTTATGCTTATTGAAGAAACTACACCAATTTTGCTCAGTAAATATGGTAAACTATGCCATTGAGTTTTCGAAGCAAATGTGTTGAGTTTTTCACTTGCAAATTCTACACGTCTACATACAGTCTCTCAACCATTGCCAGAAAGGTATTTGTGACTGATTGTATATTGAGACCTAGTGTTACCTAATTGTGTTCAGTACCAACCTCTGTGATGCAAAATCTTGTGATGACAGAACCTCCTCAGACAAAAACACGACTTCTTCTTCAGAGCTGGAACTGTTCTCCTTGTCTTCAGTTGTTGGCTGAAGTTTGGGTCGAGGTTTCTCTACAGCCACTACTTTCCCTTGACTTGGTTTCAACCCTTTCTGACCGGAACTTGTCTTTTTCTTTTGACCATCTTTTAAACCTTGGTTCTCTTTCACAGACTGAAATATAATCACCCAAAAAATAAATTGATAAGCTTTAATATTCTAATTAAATGTTCCTAGAAATAATTCTAAGAGATTAGCCCAATCAATACTCGTGCCAGTCGTTGATCCCATAAAATATGTGAAGGGTGGTCATGGTAAAGTCAGGGCCCACTTGCACAAAGCGATCTTAGTGTTACGATGATCGTAACTAAAATACAAATGTAGTCTACCTAGACTTTAGGTTGTCTTAGCACTAGATTGCTTTGTGCAAGTGGGCCCAGGCCCCGATTTCTCAAAACAAACTTAAGTTTTTACTCAAATTTCAAACTGAGTTTGACAATTTGAAACAGCTGAATTTGTAACTCAACTGCATGTTTAAAATAAGAAAGCCCAAACAACGTAAGCAATCTATCCACCAAACTCAAATTGTCCTATGTTTGAGGTTAATTTCACTCCATTCTGGGATATGCATTTTCTCAAATTTGAGTAAAAATTCTAACTTAAGTCAAAACTCAGACTTACATTTGCTTTGAGAAATCGGGGCCTGGCCATTAGACATGCTCTGATGAGGACACAAACCACCTGACCTCCCGTCATAAAGTCTTATCAGTGAGGTAAGGTGAAATTGGGTTTAACATCGTGCTTGAGAATATGTCGCTCATATGACGACGTGCATGTAAGTGTATGTGTATGTGAGGCTGCTTGTACTAGCCCAGGCTGAAGCTGGTTTTATAATGCTAGCCCACTGAGATACCATGCCGCAGTGAAGCATGAATACCCCACTCAGACACATTATACTGACTCCGAGCCGACCCATTAATGCCGAGTGCCATGCAGGGACCAACAAGTACCATATTTTAACGTCTTTTGGTATGACGCGGTCGGGGATCGAACCCGCGACCTTCCGCTCTCCGGAAAGTCTTATCAGTGGTAAATATGCATGATATGGGAAAGGTATATTGAGGTTGTCACAATACCTTACCAAATTGTAATGTGTAAGTGGAAAGTAATAGGTGCCCCTAGATTCGAATATCATTGGAGAAAACTATTGGGAAAAACTATGTTAACATCAAACACTGCATACCTGCCCTATCCATAAGGATGTCCATAATCTCTTCAGTGTCTCCATCTCCTTCCTGAGCAGGGTGGGTTGTTTTTTTTACGAGAAATAATATATAAGGTACCTTATCTTAATTTTCCATGAAGCTGAGAAAATGTATGTCCTGGCGTGATGATGATACTCTTAGTCTTACCCTTGCATGCTCATAGAAAAACCTGGTAACCTTAAACTTTCTTTGTCTACATATATTACACAATTGGTTCCCAAGCAAAACAAGTTGATCTACATCATCATGAACATACATGAATTTGAAGATTACCAAGTGATCTTAATTTTAATATTACAGAAAATATGTTAAACAGTTTGTGCAATCATTTATTCTGGGGTTTTTTCCTTCCTTTTTCAGCTGGTTGAGGTTGGAGATACACATATAAAAATATGAATGGCCTAATACGTAAGTTTATAATTTATCTTAAAAATGAAAGTGTTGCTTGTATTGTGTCTTTTGCTAAAAACAAATGTTTTGCACTTAAATACCATTACCAAGGCCTGTTAACAGACATTACAAATTGTAACGTGTACAAAATGTGCAAGAATGTACTGACGTTTGTGATGTCTTCAAATGCTGCTCTGCGTTTGAGTGAGGGGTCAATGAGAAGACCACCATGTCTCTTTACTCCCATGTTCATAGCATTGCTGGTGCTGTCATGATGAATCTGAAGTAGAAAACAAAACAGCATTATCAGATGACGTTCTTAAGATTTCACACAAGAATCACGAGCATATGCTGAACAAATCGAACCGCCAATCTTTGATGTTGATACTTTATCTTTTATCAATGTGAGCACAGACTGCTTATCACTTATCAGTAATAAAGCATACAACTCGATGGATGACAACTTCTTGTTTATTGACCATGCTGACTTTTCAGTGTAGATTGCCTGTCAAACAATTATCATTTATTTTATCTGTCTCATCTGAGCTTTTATACAAGAACTACAATTTCAACAAAGTCATAACAATAAGAATAACTGTTCTTCAGATAATAATGTTCCCAATGAAGAAACATTTTATTGCACTCATTTGCTGAAAAGGGTTGTGCATAAGGAAGATTTGTGTAAAATATTCAACCAGGATAATTAGGTATTGTTCACCACATAACAATAGTGATGAATGAATACAGAATTTTTAGCCGCCTACGTTTAATGGGCATAAACATCAATGATTATGCTTATCCCTAGTCATATGCCTTTGGCATTATAACTACGAAATGTGGGTGAAAGAAAATGCAAAACGATTTGCCTTAGACTGTTGAAACTGGTTAAGACTGAAGGCCGAACGCTGAGCACTACAGACTCACAGAATTACAATATAATTGTTCCTAGATAAACTGAAACAATTAGGGGGGAGTACTGCACTTTACCGGGCGCACTTTTTCAGATTAATTAGCGATGCTGGGGTTCCCAAACCCTAAGTTCAGTTATATGGTAAGCATGATATGGGTACTTCAACGGTTTGATACCTTGTAAACAATGTCCATAAACTAGACGCCTCATAGGAGTACAAACTTTCTAATTCGTGATTTGAAACAATCCACGTACAAGGTACACCATCATGCAATCATTTCTTCATTATGATGCCTACCTATAAATAAGTATATCTGAATTATTTCTAGTTTGCTATCCTTGTTTTCAACAGGACGTTTCGTTGTGTCCTCGGCTCTGAAAAATATCGAGAACGTTTGCGGTTTTGTTTAGGTCAGGTTCTTGGATGCGTGTTGATCAAAACTTACCCCCACATCGAATTTTCTTTAAATTCTTATGCTTACGATGGAATTATGTTTTCAAGCGCTAAAATTACAATGCATCTGTAAAATAGTCACCGAAGTGAAACCATACACACCTGATCAAGCGGCATTGTTGCCTTTGATCTCAAAATTCGATCTTTCCTCTTGTTCATTTTTGGACGAAACAGCAGTCGAAAATCCGCAGTTTCTCTCTGGTAACACTTCTCTGCTTAAGATCAACACACATTAACCAGCAATGTTGCGAACAATTTCAAGATCCAAAAAATATCCCCTCTTTAGTTCTCGCACACTGTAAACAATCTTCTTCTCAGGGTCGTGGGCCGTTTGAAATTCGTGAGTACGATCTCGATCCTGATTGGTCCAAATTTCAGAGTCAACCAATCAAATTCAAGAGAGCGCCATCTGTCGGAAGGACTATTCAAGGGAAGGCCACTCTCAATTTGTTTTATTCCGCACGTGAAATAGGATGGAAAACTACTGTTTGGGATGTCACGTTAGTGATGGTAATACTCCAGTGTAAATATTAACTACACTTTACGACGGTTGTGATGCTAACAGAAAATTAGTTTGCATGTCAAACAATATTACTGAAACAGTCGACATATTAAATGAGTCATACATTTTAGAATACCGTTCATTGTGCATCAAGACACGCCCAACAAATGATGTACTTGTCGCAATATTTTAGTGTTAAAATAAAAGAGAACTCTTTTCTTAAAAAATTATGTATTTTTTTCAAAATTCAAATTGACATGCGTGAAATTATGTCTAGTTTGACCTTATAGCTGTGTATTTTTCTGTCATGATTTGTAAACGTTGCCATGTTTCTGGTAAGGTCCTTTATATTTATGCTTATGTAAGAGAAAGTTGAATAGGTGTTAGGTTGTCAGGTTTAATGATTTGGGTGTTGTATTATGTGACTGATGCTTAAATGATGCCAAACACTGATATGTCTAGTCCAGAGTTCATATTTACAGACTCGTCATATAGCTGGAATATTGCTGAATGCCATGTTTGACAACAATTAAACCATAACCCATTCTAATATTTGTACACATGCATGTATATATCATAATCATTATTATTGATAATAATTCATAAATATTAATGGCCTAATTAATTAAATATATCTGTGAAATTAGAACTTGACTTTCCATACCCATGAGATCTGTACCCAAACTTTTTAGACAGACTTGTACCTAAATGCTGACTAACCTGTAGCCACATGTCAGATCAACTGAATGACTGATATACAAAAAGTGAATCCGCACCCTGTGAAAAAATATAAGATTTGAATTGGTGATTACTTGTATTATTTCCTGCTGCAATGTTCTATGAACATATACATAATTTTGTTTGATTTGCGTTGCATATAGCATCTTATGAAGAGGAAAATCACTTAGAAGTTTAATAGTAAAGTTTTGTACCACAAGTTAACACTATTTATCTAATAATAATTTTGTAAGATGAGTTAAAGTTTGAAATGTGATATGAATTGTGTTTTTAAATTCAGAACTGCTAGGAGTGAACTATTAACACTTGTATTATAAAATTGATGAATTTCCAAATCAGTTCCAATTGCTGCAAACAATTGACTCTCCACAGTGTTGCACAAGACACTGCCATGCTAAAGTAGAGTGTCATGCTACCCAATGTCATTGTCATCCTTCAGTTCTCTGTCATCCTGAAAAGTGATACTACATGCCACAATATACAGCATTATGGTAAAGAACCAATATAGCATTTTAAAGACATTTTCATGCTAAGGCATTCCGACATATTTCAGTGTCATGCTCTAAAGGTTCCTGCTGAATGTCATGCTACAGTGTCATGCTGTAAGGTTTCATGCTGAGCATCATGCTACGATATGTGTAATGCATCTTTCATGCTTCTTGCATGTGTACCAGGAGACTGATCTTTGCTCATCAGCTGTAGGTCAACAACCTGCTATCAGAAATAGGGAGGCTGCAGAGGGGGAGGACAACAATGTCACAAGATCAATTTTACACATTCATGAAATAATTACAAAATTCTCAATTCATGGAGAAATTTATTTGTGTTCAGTGTTCAGAAATGTACAACATGAAATAAATTTTCATCAATATTTTTTCTAGTGATTCCACCCCATTGATGTCCTCATCATGAAGATATCACACTGTATAGGTCAGGGGATCAGGTTGTTATCTGATAGTCATTCTTAATATTGACTCTAGAAGTCAGTGACAAGTATGTCCTATTTGTTGAGTATTAATAACAATACACAATGCCATTTAGAAAGTGGTCCTATGTAGCATGGTATGTCTGGGTTTACACTTTCTCAGTTAAAACTGTAGTGTTTTATTGGGTTGAGTCCCATCCAGGATTCGAACCCACAAAAACAGTGCTATAGTGGTTAAAGCGTTTGCTCGTCACACCGAAGACCCGTGTTCGATTCCACACATGGGTACAATGTGTAAAGCCCATCTGTGGTGTCCCCTTCCGTGATATCGCTGGAATATTGCTAAAAGCGACGTAAAACTAAACTCACTCACTTACTCTTATGTGACGGCTTTGAATCCTACTTTCTCCAAAGCAGTAATCTGTCAGCATTATGCCCACGGTCACCGAAGTGTAAAACTTCTGACACAAAGTGTCTAATACATTTCTTCTGTATAATTATGTTGATGGATGATCATAAATTGTTGGTCAGCACTGAACTCAACAATATTTCTGATATAATACATTGACATTTTTTTTATACCTTCTCAGGGGTGGTGGGGTAGCCCAATGGTTAAAGTGTTTGCTCGTCATGCTGAAGACCGGGTTCGATTCCCCACATGGGCTCAATGTGTGAAGCCCATTACTGGCGTCTCCTGCCGTGATATTGCTGGAATATTGCTAAAGGTGGCTTAAAACAATACTCGCTTACCCGCTCATTCTCTCACTTGTTTACTCACTTGTTCACTCACTCACTCACTCTGTGAACTATGACACTGTATCATCATGTCACAGAGTCTGACCACCATCCTATTTATTCGTCCCTTAGAACAAACATAATTTGCTAGGACCAATTCTAACGCAGTATCCACTGGTGATTGGGAGCATGAAATGTGTTTAATCTGACTTTGAGTTCACCTTACCACAGATATGCCAGTGATTATTTAGGCCAGCAGAAATATACAGAAAAAAGACAAATTAATTGACCTAAGTTTCCCCAAGTTCATCACTCACACCATCTCTCTTCATCAGTTTCTTCATCACTCATACCCTTCATCCGGTTTTCACATCACTCTTTCTTCATACCCTTCATCACTTTCTTCATCACATCAGTCTTCATCACTTTGTTCATCGTTCACTACACCACTCTCATCATCACATCAGTCTTCATCACATTCTTCATCATTTACACCATCACATCAGTCTTCATCACTGTCTTCATCATTTACACCATCACATCAGTCTTCATCACTTTCTTCATCATTTACACCTTCACATAGGTCTTTAACCCTTTCTTCATCATTTATACCATCACATCAGTCATCACTTTCGTCATCATTTACACCATCACATCAGTCTTCATCACTTTCTTCATCATTTACACCATCACATCAGTCTTTATCACTTTCTTCATTTTACACCATCACATCAGTCTTTATCACTTTCTTCATCATTTACATCATCACATCAGTCTTCATCACTTTCTTCATCATTTACACCATCACATAGGTCTTTATCACTTTCTTCATCATTTACATCATCACATCAGTCTTCATCCCTTTTTTTCATCATTTACACCATCACTCTCATCATCACAACAGTCTTCATCAATTTCTTCATCATTTACACTGTCACATCAGTCTTTCATCACTTCATCATTTACACCGTCACATCAGTTTTCATCACTTTCTTCATCATTTACACCTTCACAACAGTCTTCATCACTTTCTTCATCATTCACACCATCATCTCTCATCATTCTTCATCACTTACACTTCATCACTTTTCTTGCCATCACATCATCACATCTGTCTTCATCATTCACACCATCACTCTCATCATCACATCAGTCTTCATCACTTTCTTCATCATTCACACCATCACTCTCATCACATCAGTCTTCATCATTCACACCATCACTCTCATCACACATCTGTCTTCATCATTCACACCATCACTCTCATCATCACCACCATCACTCTCATCACATCAGTCTTCATCATTCACACCATCATCAGTCTCATCATCAGTTACACCATCTGTCATCATCATCATTCACACCATCACTCTCATCATCACATCAGTCTTCATCACTTTCTTCATAATTTACACCATCACATCAGTCTTCATCACTTTCTTCATCACTCAAACCATCACTCGTATCATCAATCATTATCACTCACACCGTCAAACCACTTTCTCCATCAGTCCCACCATGACTCATTCCATTACTTGCTAAATTACATTTTCCATCATTTCACCCTAACTACTCATTCCATTATGGCATCACTCACTCCCTCGATCCACCGCCTCCGTGGTGTAGTGGTTAGAGCCTCTGCCCGGAGAGCGGAAGGTCGCAGGTTCGATCCCCGGCTGCGTCAGACCTAAAGACGTTAAAATATGGTACTTGTTGGTCCCTGCCTGACTCAGCATAAATGGGTATACTGGTCACGGGGTCACAGACTGAGTGGGGATGCTTAACTGCAGCTTGGTATGTCAGTGAGCTAGCACTATAAAACCAGCTTAAGTCTGGGCTAATGTATTCCACACAACATGCACATCGCCATAGGGGAAACACTCAAGCACGACGTTGGGTTTCACCTCACCTCACCTCACTCCCTCGATCACAACAGTATGGATTATTCAGTCTAACTATGTTGGCACCTCCCATGGTACACAGGGCAAGGGAGTAACATTGAATGGGTGTGAGCTAGAACTGTCAATCTTGAATTCAAAGTTCTGAGTGCTTATTAAATAAGTAGTATTAAGCATTAAAATAAATCTTATAACGATCATCATTATGATAACAATAGCTGAAAGACCAGTGAAAATCATCTCTGCGTAAAAGAATGTTCTTTTTCTGAAATAATCATGGTAGTTTTCCGACCTTGGCCAGACATTACCCTGGATACCTGGTCCCCAGACACCAATATAAAACTAATGCATATATTTATCCCAATAAATAATTTTATGTTTTATCGAAAAAAACTTTACTAATATTTATGGGTATTTCACAAAGAGACAATTGCTTTGTATTGTAACTGGATACATCATCTTCACTATGTCATGTTCCAATTACTCGATATAGGACACCACTGATTACTTGTGATTGTACATGCAAGACCAGGGTGATA